TGTGGTCCCCAGGAGCATCCCACCACCTCCCACCCTGGCATTTAACAAGCCCATAACCTTTCCTGCCTAATAATCCTGAACAAGTGCCTCTGACTGTGGCACCATCCACCAACCAGCAGCTAGAATTCCTCAAATAGGGAAGGGGGGAAACGGGGGGAGCGAGCATCGACACAGCCCACCCCATGCCCACCATGGGTGCTGGGGACACCGGCACGGCCCCACTGATCTCTCACCCAGGGATGCGGCATAGCTGCCAACGGAGTTGGTGCTTCCCTGGATCGATAGTAAGGAGGAACATTGGAATACTGGGCTGCATAAACCACCCTGCGTGAGCGGCATCACCGGGAGCCCCGGTATCCACCACTGCTCAGGCGAGTGATTCACACACCTCATGTTCCACAGCACCTCAGCAGCACCCTCGGAAGCACCGAAGCTGCATCTGCCTCTTTGGGAAGGGACTTTGGCTGCCGGGAAAGCCGGGATCACCCCGCAGGTACCAACCCATAGCACCCCCAAACCAGACCTCCAGGAGGGCGAGGAAGAGCTTTGGGTCATTGGGTGCAGCAGGTCACTGGTGAGCAGCCAGGCCCTGGGGTCTTCTCCTCCTCTTGAAGAGCAGAGGAGGGGGCAGCCAGCCTCTCCCCACCCCGAGCTCTCCCATTCCCTTCTGGTTGCATGGTGAAGGCATCATCTTTTCCTCCTCCTATGGGATCCTTCCCATAGAGCATCACCCAAGCACCCTGAAAAGCCACCCTGGGTACCACAAAGGCTTCCGTGAAGAGGGCAGGCAGGGTGCAGGAAGGGTGCAGGCAGGGTGCAGGCAGGGTGCTCCCATGGAGGGTTTCCCCATTGTGCCTGCAATGGGGAGCAACAGTTTTGGAAGCGCCACGGGAAGCTGCAGACGTTTTCCTCCTGGAGACACGGGAATCCTCATCCGTGAGCAGGGCAGGGAAAACCGGGAAGAGCCCGGGCAGAGGAGCAGCAAACGCTGCGTGGGCAAAGGGAGCCGCAGCAGGGCTGGCGCCGACCCCTGCCCATCCCGACAGGGGCTGGAGCTGGGAGAGAGATTCCGAAGACAGGAATTGGGGGGGGGGGGGGCGTGGTGGAAGCGCCCTTCCCAAGTTTCTTGTTCAGGAGCGGGATGTTCCCTCTCTCCCTTCTCTCTTAAGGCGCATCCCTACGACCTTCACACGGACCCCGCCTGCCCCTTGCGCCCCTGCCCCACTGCTGGGGGGGGGGAATTGGGGAGGTCTCAGGGAAGGGGATGGGGGGGGGAAGCGGTTTTGGGGGTGCTCTGCGGGCAGCAGCGTGCGGGGCGGGGGGGTCCTGAGCCCCCTCGGGCACACAACGCGGTGGCGGCTCCGGGATCTCCCCCCCCCCTCACTTCCTCCCAGCGCCGGGTGCGGGTCCCAGCTCAGGGCTCCCCCCCCCCTCCCCGCACGTTGCCGCTGCCGGACCCCGCCGGGTCCACGCACGTCACCGATACCGGCCCCAGCACCAGCGCCCAGCCCCGCTCCCGCTCCCGCTCCCGGTCCCACCGCCCCTAACCCGGTACCGATCCCTTCAGACCCCCCCCCCCCCCCTCTCACGGTGCCTGTGCGAGCCGCATCCCTCCTCCCGCTACCGGTACCTCCATACCCCCTTCCGGGGCGAGCCCCCGCACGGCACCGCTGCCGATCCCCCCCCCCCCCCTCACCCCGCTTCCTCAGCGCACCCTCCCCGGTACCGGTTGCAGCGCGATCGCGTTGCGGTGCCCGGTGCCGCTGCCGATCCCACCCTCCCCGGTGCCCCCCGCACTCACCCTGGCGGCGCGGGCGCTCAGCACCACCAGCACCAGCAGCAGCAGCACCGCGGGGCTCCGCAGTCCCCGGGGCGCCGGCGGCGGCTCCTCCGCGGGCATCTTCGTGCCGCAAGGACGCTGCCGGCGGCTGCAGCGGCGGGAGCGGCGGGGGGCGGGGACGAGCCTTTGTTGCCGCCGCCCGCGGGAGGCGGGGGGGTTGAAGGGGGTGGGGGGGGGTGGGGGGGGGGGGTGTGGGACGCGCTCCTCCCCCCCGCCACCCCCACCCCCCCCCCCCCCCCCCGAAGCAGGAAGCGCCGGGACTGGAAGCAAATGGGGGGGGGGGGGGGGGGAAGGAGGGGATAGGATGGGGGGGAGCTCGGGCAGATGGGGGGGGTCAGGGATAGGAGTGGATGGGGGACACCCTGGGGGCAGAGGACTGGGGGAGCCAGGAGGAGATAGGAGAAGGAGTGGATGGGGGGAACCTGGGGTGGATGGGATGCACGGAGTGGAGGGGACTGGGGCAGACTGGAGGGAGCTGGGGTAGAGGGGGGGGTCGGGGGTGAATGGCAATGGGGGGGGGTCAGGGATAGGAGTGGATGGGGGACACCCTGGGGGCAGAGAGGGGAGGATTGGGGGAGCCAGGAGGAGATAGGAGAAGGAGTGGATGAGGGGAACCTGGGGTGGATGGGATGCACGGAGTGGAGGGGACTGGGGCAGACTGGAGGGAGCTGGGGTAGAGGGGGGGTTCCAGGGGTGGATGGGGTGGTGCTGAGGCAACGAGGGGACTCAGGGGCAGTTGGGGGGCTCAGGAGTAAGTGTTGGGGAGTATGGGGTACATAAAAGGGGGGATCTAGGGAGTATTGGGGGACCCAGTGTTAGGTGGGATGCACTGGGGGAAGTAAAAGAGGGGACTGGGGCAGGCTGGTGGGGTCCAGAGGTAGATGGGGTGATGCTGAGGCAATGTGGGGGATGCGGGAGGATTTGGGGGGCTCAACAGGCAGATGGGGGTATGGGGGGCATCACCCCAGGGCAGATGGGGGAGAGGAACCCTCTGGATGCAGCTCCGTGATGGGACCCCCCCTGCCCTGCTCCATGGCCCCTCGGTCGCCCCTCGCTGGGGCTAGAGTCACCCCTGGGGTACCACAGATACCCAGGGACCCCCTGCCTCCATTTCCCCTTCCAGAACTAGAGGGAAAGCAGTGGGATCAGAGTGCAGGACAGTGACTTCCATGGGGTGACCCTGGGGTGATCGTGGCCTTCAGCAACCCCGATGGGTCCAGGAGTGAGCTGGGAGCAGGCGGGATGGGATGGGATCGAGTCGCTTCTCACCATGGAATTGCTCCTGAGGGCGGTCACGCACTCGCTGTGAAAGCCTAAAACTGCACTGGGATTGTCCTAAAACCCCTCATCTGAATGGAAAAGATACCCCGGGGGGGAGCAGGGCCCCACAGGGCCCGGTTAGGAGGGGACATCAGCCGAATGCCCTGTGAGGGTGCTGAGGAGCTCCAGAGAAGCTGTGGCTGCCCCATCCCTGGCAGTGTTCAAGGCCAGGTTGGACACAGGGGCTTGGAGCAAGCTGCTCTAGTGGAAGGGGTCCCTGCCCGTGGCAGGGGTTGGAGCTGGAGGAGCTTTAGGGTCCCTTCAACCCAAACCAGGCTGGGATTCGATGAGATTCAGCTAAAACCGGAGCACCCGGACACGAGCATCCTCCTGCTCCCTGCTTGCTGGGAAACTGCGAGCAGCCTCCCCTTTGGGGGGGCCCTGCCTCGGGGGCCCCACCCGAGCCGTTTCTCTCCATTTTAATTGGGCTGTAATTAGCGGGAGCCAAATTAACAAGCATTAAATGCCCAAGTGCATCAATAGCATCAGCGGGAAGCGGGGGGGGAGGCTTTGGGGGTGCAGAAAGGCGGCGGGGGGGGGGAGCGGGTGCTGAGGGTCCCCGTTGCCGATGCTGTTGCCGTTGCCGGGGCTGCACCGCCCCGCCGTGGCCGCGGCCACCACTGCAGGGTCCGGATGGAGCCCGCAGGATGGAGCCCGGAGCCCTGCGGGTCCCCACCACTGGCACCCGAGGCCAGGCGTGGACAATGGGGGGGGCCCTGGACACGAGAATCGGGGTTCAGGGGGGTTGCTGCCACCGGGTCGGTTCCACGCCATGCTGGGAGAGGGGGATCCGGTTCTGTCAGGGCAGGGTGGGTGCGATGGGTCCTGGATGAGGTGATGGATCCGGGGTGTCAGGAGGGACCCCGGCTGATGGGAAGGACCTTCCAACCCAGGGGAAAGGGCTCAAAGCCCAGGTGAGCTCCTCACTGCAGCGAATAATGGGTGAGGACCCACTGCTAGAGGCTGCTTTCTCCCCACATCCCCGGCCCTGGGCAATGGCACAGGGATGAAAACAGAGCTGGGGCTGCGCCGAGACAGGGAATGAGGGCACAAAGGGACACAGTGCAGGCAGAGGGTGAGGGCAGCCCCAAACCCAACACCGCTCCTGGGCACGGAACAAAGTCCTCAGGAACACGAGCCTTCCATGACCCAGGAACCATCACTGGGTGCTGCTGGAGCATCCCCTCCATGCCTGCCCGGAGCAGCTCCCTGCTCCCCACACCCTGAAGGTGAAGCAGAGGATGAGGAACAGCTCCGCAGGGCCCGGACCCAGCTGCAGCAACTCAGAGCACACCACAAGCGAGAGGTAGCAGAGAATCCTTTCCCTACCCTGCTCTTTGCTGCACTCAAAGTAGCCAAGAGCTGGCTGCTCATCTCCAGCTTAGAGGATGGAGGCTGTAGGAGCTACAGGTTCGTACAGGCCCAGAGGAGAGACTTGCCCAAAGCACTGGGGATGCAAACAGCCAAAACAGGATCATGGGATGGGTTGAAGGGAGCTTAAAGCTCATCCGGTTCCAACCATGGGCAGGGACCCCTTCCAGTAGAGCAGCTTGCTCCAAGCCCCTGTGTCCAACCTGGCCTCGAGCACTGCCAGGGATGGGGCAGCCACAGCTTCTCTGGGCACCCTGTGCCAGCGCCTCAGCACCCTCCCAGGGAAGAGCTTCTGCCTAAGAGTGCAGAATCCCAGAGGCTCAGGGAGGAGGCACGGCCATGGGGTCACTGCTCTTCATTCCCAACACGCACCCGGTGCTGAGGGCGGCTGCCATGGGGATGGCTGCTCCTCAAACCGGGAACAGACCCAGGGATGTTGATGCTGGAGCCGTCGGAAGCAGCCACGGAGCCAGATTCCAAAGTTCTGTATTTTTCAAAATAAAGATCACACGTTGTTTAGAGACAATCTACACAAGAGTTACAAAAAATAGGCGCCCAGGCATAAGCATACACAGGTTTGTTAATTATACACATATGGTTACAAGTGTGCTTGCAAAAAAGTTTCATTGGAAATATACACAAGGCTCTGTAAATGTACACCGTGTAGTGTTACAAGTCTATATTCAAACAAGGAAAATTGACAGTATGTTACATTCACTTACAAGTAGACAAAATGCAAAATACAGTTCATCTTCTGTACAAAAAGGGGAGGTGATTCACACTTTACAAGGTGAAAAGGGGCTCTGATTGTAAGGAAAAAACCAGGGGGAGCCGGAACTTCTGCACTTCTTGTTTCGTACTGTCACAAAAAGAAGCAAAAACCATTACTTTGTAAGAGTCAAAAAAACCACTATTTGGAACTGAATCAGAGGGGGGGGTGTAGAACATTTAGAAAGGGTCGCTACTGTCCAACGAGGTGACAAAGAAAACCAAGCATCTCTTGTTACTCTTTTTGCTTGTCCACATGAACTAGGCTGTATAAAGAGAACATTTCCTTCCAAAGAAAAAAAAATTTACTTCTGGTTGAAATTACAATTTACAATATACAACACTATATGCTACGACCATAAAAGGTGTGAATATACACTGAAATGCACAGGTTTGGCTAATTCTCTTTTTGTTTTCTTGTTTTCTTACCAAAAAACGGGTTCGATGTCGAGTCAAACTTCTCCACATTTACATTACAGAGGTTTACAAATGTACAATTGTACAGTCAGAAGTATGTTCCACTACTAGGGTACATTATAGATACAGATCAGACATCAAAACAAGAAAATACTACAAATTTTTATATATGTAAAGTCTACACCAAGTATACACTATATATTTATAGAAGCAAGACCAAAGCTGAGTTGGATTTTGTTTTCCTCATGCTAAGTAATCAAATGGTGTCTCTCACCGTTAACAGGACCAGGTACACCCGCCCTTGCGTTAAAACCTGGTGGGGCGCGCATCGCCTTGTCCCCCCGGCCACCAGCTAAACTCCCCTCCTTCGGCATGTTCTACTCCACAAAAGAAGAGGAAAAAAACCAACCAAAAATAACAACAACAACAAAAAAAAAAAGCAATTAAAAAGTTTCAAAAACTTCATTCTTTGTTTAAAACTGCAGCGAGTTGATTTCTTTCCACACGTTTATCAACGGCGTCCAAGGCGCCCTTGGACTAAGATTCAACCTTTTCTGTGTCGGCTCAAGTTTGGACTAAAAAGAGAAGGAAACCAACCCAAGAGGGATTTGCTCAAGGGCAGGTCAATTAAAACCTGGGGTTTTGTTTCTTTTTTCTCTTGTTTTTCTTCAAACCAACCACCCTGAAAGTTTCCACAATTGGAATATAGATACAACAGTGAACAAAAACGTGGCCTTCCATGTACATTGGATCCCTATGTACAAGTATTCTATACACCGGTAAAACAGCAGGGCAATTAGTTAATTAAAAAAAATAATTAGTACATGTTATGCATAATAAAATTAAAGAAATTTACAAAGGCTTTTCATTTTTTTTTTGTGTTTTTTTTTTCTTCTCTGGTTTTTTGTTGTTTTTTTTTTTTTTTCTTGTAGCAACCATTTTAAACCTTTTCTGCCTGTGGACTGGAATCGTGGCGGTTGCTGGCTGGCGGGGCCCAGGGTGCTGCTCCCCGATGCGCCACCTCAGATGATGCCATTTGGGGGACCACAAATAGGCCCCAGGTCCACCCCGTTCTTCATGTAGTATTTCTCCAGCTTGGCCAGGATGTGTTTGCCATAGGTGTACTTGCGCAGGGTGGCGATGTGAGGCCGGATCTGGGAGGTAAAAGAAGAGAGAGCGAAGCTTAAAGGACCTGAATTATGGTCATGGCAATCCTGGGTGAGCTCCGGGTGCTGCCTGCTCAGGAGAGCAACAGAGCACAGTGCCTGCAATACTAATGTGCTGTTTGCTGTAATCACATTAATTAGTCATGGAATCCCAGCCTGGTTTGGGTTGGAAGGGACCTTAAAGCTCCTCCAGCTCCAACCCCTGCCACAGGCAGGGATGCCTTCCATAGAGCAGCTTGCTCCAAGCCCCTGTGTCCAACCTGGCCTTGAACACTGCCAGGGATGGGGCAGCCACAGCTTCTCTGGGCACCCTGTGCCAGCGCCTCAGCACCCTCACAGGGAAGAGCTTCTGCCTAAGAGCTCAGCTCAGTCTCCCCTCGGGCAGGTTAAAGCCATTCCCCTTGGCCTGGCCCTACAGGCCCTTGTCCAAAGCCCCTCTCCAGGTTTCCCCTTAAGGCACTGGAGCTGCTGACGCTCTCCTGGACAGTTTCAGAGGAACGAGACATCAGAGCAATTCATTTTCCTCACTAGATGAGAAATACCCCACACCACCAGCTGGTTCCCTCAGGAATACATGTACAGTGGAGTTTTCACTCTGCCCTGTGCCAGCCTCGCTTCACAGCTGCAGACGGGATGACGAGGAAACAGCCGGAACGGGATGCGCTCCTCGAGCAGCACAGTGCCATTACCTGCCTAAGTCAGGACCAAACAGAACACTCCCATGGGCAATCCCCACCAACTTCAGCCTATTTCACTGGGTCAGCTTCTAGCTGTTTAAATTCCTATTTCACTCTAAGGCTCCACCTTGGAACAGTCAGAAATCGATGCTCCGGCCACTGCCACATCCCATTTCCAAGGTCTGACTGCTGCTCTGAGGTTAGGGAGAGGAAAGCTCCCCAGGTCAAATCATTCCTTCTTTGTTCCTCTTCATTTCTGAGACTTTTTTTAACTGTTAAAATGACTTTTAACCTTTAAGATATGTCTTTAACACCACCACAAACTCACAACCCAAAAGCAACGGCCGATGCAGGTTGGAACTGGATGAGCTTTAAGGTCCTTTCCAACCCAACCCAGGCTGGGATTCCATGGTACACTCACTTTTCCCAGGCTTCCGTTCAGCTCGTGGCTGAGCTCTTCACTTGCACTCAGTCCTATTTAGCTGTCATCCCACTTCTATTTCTGACAGCCACACTGATAATCTGATTAGCATTTTATTCAAAAGACTTTGCTTGACAGGGAAGAACGTGTCAGTAAAGATCATCTCTATGTTACTCTTTTAATATACACACCTCTATATATAGATCAGCAAAGCCACAGGTCATTCTTGCCGTGTATTTCCATTACACTTTCTTTTGGACTAATACAGATTTTGGTTTCAAAGAACGACTCTGAATGATTCCTAAACTGAAGAATTAACCTCCCTGAAGATTGTTTTAGCTGCAAGTGCGGTGTTTATCCACTGATTAACTGCCTTGTGTAGGGAAAAATCAGCTCCCTCATGCAGATAATACCCACTTCTTTATACGGAAATCACTTGGTCTGTTTTCCTCAAGGATTCTTAAACACACTTGATTTCATCGGGATGCGAATACCTGACGCTTCTCACAGTTGTTGCTTTGATAAATACATAAATGTGGGTTTCCTGAGCCAGTATTAGTATTTCATTTCTAACAAGAGGTCTGGCTGTAGCTGCTATTCTGTACAGAGTAACACACCCAAACACATGTGACTGCAGAAAACCAGCTCAGTTCCACCACACGTCCAAAAGCCTGGGTTCTCCCATTCGTTACAAGCACAAAGACCCACAAACGTGACCCTTAAAAGCATGAAAATGAAGCTATCACCTGATTTCTAGCACTTCTTGCCCCTGGGGCAGCAGGAGAACAGCCCTGGGAGGTAGGACCAGCAGCAATGCCTGTTTCAGTCCAAAATCTCTTCTTTTTTGACAAATATGAAGCCCTGAAACTGTCAGGCTTCAAACCTTGTAGCACTAAGCTAAACTGTGGATGTGTTCAAGGCCAGGTTGGACACAGGGGCTTGGAGCAAGCTGCTCTAGTGGAAGACGTCCCTGCCCATGGCAGGGGTTGGAACTGGACCAGTCTGGGATTCTATGAAGTCTGTCATCAGAACCATATTCAAACCTGAGCAATAAGGATTTCATCAGGGGCTGCAGGCACAGCAGCGCAGTGTCACAGCTACCCAACCGCCCTAACAGGGCTGAAGGGCAAGGACAAGAAGGGAGAAGGCTCGTGCTGTGGGTGTGCAGAGGTCTGGCCCAGCCGCACCGAGCTGCTCTCATCCACAAACACTGTCCTCAGTGAGGACGAGCATGTTGCCATCACCAGACCTTTGGAGGCCCCTCGCCAGGCTCCAACAGTGCTGCTGCAGTGAATACTGATGGTTTTTAGCAGCATTTGCTAGTGTGGAAGTAGGTTACTAGGTCAGCAGAGATTGCTAGAAGCAACCAGCTTGTTTTAAGTCCAAATGGCATCTCATTATTTCACATTTTCATCTTTCAGCTCCTACCCAAAGTGTATAGATCTTACATATCCAGCTTTGAAAGAGCCATCATTAGGAAATGCTAATGGCAAAAGCAATCCTGAGGAGCCCTCTACGTCCTTCTCCATCGATGGCAGCTGCTTACCTTGTGCATGACAATCTTCCGCTGAGCTGGCTCTGCCACATCAATCATCTTCTGCACCACGTAGTTGGCGTACTGATCTTTCATCATGGTGTATAAGGCACTGTGAGGGCCGTCGTTCATAGTGCACACCTCATCGATCAACATGGCACGCTCCGTGCGGGAGGCGTGAGTGACGCACTTCTCCACCACGTTGCTGTAACAACAGAAGAAGGACAATCTGTGGGCATGCAATGTCTCCACTGGGCTTCCCCTCCAACCCCAAGGAGATCTCTTCCTAATAGCGAGGGCAGACCATTTGGTGCTCCTCGCTACAAGAGAGTGATGCTAGAAGAGGTCCAGAGAAGGACATCGGAGCTGGTGCAGGGCCTGGAGCACAAGTGTGATGGGGGACGGCTGAGGGACCTGGGGTGTTCAGTCTGGAGAAGAGAAGGCTCAGGGGGGACCTGATGGCTCCCTACAACTGCCTGACAGGAGGATGGAGCCAGGAGGGGCTGGGCTCTGCTCCCAAGGAACAAGGGATGGGACAAGAGGAAACGGCCTCAAGCTGCACCAGGGCAGGTTTAGATGGAGCTGAGGAACAATTCCTGCCCCAGAGGGTGCTCAGGCATTGGAACAGGCTGCCCAGGGCAGGGCTGCAGTCACCGTCCCTGCAAGTGTTCACACCCCGTGGAGACGAGGCCTCATGCCACTGGTGGCCTTGGCAGTGCTGGGAATAGTTGGACTGGATGAGTTTAAAGGTCTTTTCCAACCTGGCTGATTCTATGATTCTATGTGCTGGCACAGTAGTTCAGCAACATGGAATCGAAAAGCTTGGGATCCAAGTGGGAATTCAGATAAAGGACTGGTTTAGGTTTTATTTCACTCCAATTTGTACAGCTCTGAGTGATGCTATGTTTGAGATCAGCGTCTGTTCTCAACACACCCATCAGAGCAGCATATGAGTTGCTCTTTGTTTGGTTTTCTCAGTGCTGGACCTCGACAGGAACAGAGTCCCAAGGTCGGAACAACTGGGAAATGCTTATTCAGGAACTTAAGATCTTAGCAAAGGCAGAGAACTCCCAAAATTCCTTCATATATTAGATGACTGGCCTCTGCTCTCCAGGGAGCCAGGTTAAATAGGATACATGAAAGGGGATGAGGAGTTTTCTAGTCTTATCTTCCACATCCCTGGAATCACAAAATCACCAAGTGGTTTGCCTCAGCTAGTGCTCAGCTCAGGGGAGACCTTACACTAGGTTAATGCTTCATGTGGAAAGAAGTTTAGGAATTAAAAGAGCAAGGCAAGTCAGGAAGACAGGAATCTGAATAACAAAATTAAGAGAGCTCTCTTCTAATTCTTAATGTTACACTTTCCTTGTGTCTGCAAGTATTAAAGCTCTATTTCACTAACCATAAATGCTGAGCCTTTGAGGAGCTCAGCCTTCATGTTCCAAAGGCCAGAAACACACACAAAAGGAATTTACAAACGTGGGAAGTACAACTTTGCCTTGACATCCACTAAGGTGGATTTTGCTTCTCCCCACGTGTAGCTCTGTAGTATCTGGACTAACAATCCCAGACTGCTGCAGCTTCCCTAAGAGGGCATCACATTGCATATGTCTCCAAAGGGACTGCAAGACTTGGCAAGTAAAAAGCCCAGCTTCTTCCATGAAAAGTAAGATGAAAAGAGGATTGTGGCTCCATGGATTTCCCGAATTCCCATGCGGCTTGACCCAGCATCCCAGGAGCAGTGAAATGCTCTGATGGCATGTTACTAACCAAGGGATAGTGACCACTTCAAAACCACCAAACCAAAATGAAGCCAACACACAGCAAAAGTCATGGTCACATTCCAGGACTGGATTAGAGCTGCTCCTCCACATCTCCATCCTCCTTCATGACCAGGAAAACTTACCTCACCGGTCACTCATCCCGCTTTATAAGCGGTTATAAATAGCATTCTGTTGTTAAGCAAAAAGCTCTTTTCACCTCCTTTCACCTCCTTGCACCCCACCCCTAACTCTTGGGCAACTCCAGCATGTGTCCATGCTCCCACGGGGCGTGGAGACTTTGAGGAACAAATTCATACCTAGCAAATTTATGTTGACTCAACACCAGCACGTTGCCTCTAATTTCTGCTACAATCTTGCTCTTATCCTCGGGCCGACCATGTTCTAGTACATGCTGGATAACATAGTTCCCATACTGATCCTGTTTGAGAGACAGCAGAAGTGTGTGACAAAACGTGGACAGGAACCATTAATATCAAACTAGTTCCCACTGTGCATTAAGACTTACAAGCTTGAACTAAACACTACTTAAAGTATCTACTGTACAAAACACGTCAATACTTTCTACTTCTACGGCAATGTGCATGCTAGAGCTTCAGCAGGGGGTAAAATGCTACATCTGTGTACAAATTACAGCACGAAATGTCAATACTCTGCTTATTGCAAGTTTCTTTGCTTTCTCCAGGCTCAGACAAACAAAATCACACGTCCTTGGAGGACTGTGTCATGGTTCTAGCTATGGGGACTGTTCTCATGCACGTTCACATTGTGAATGTGTGTGTATTCAGGTCACAAAGTGTTTTCCCAGTTGGCAGTACCAGAGGCATGACCTGATGCTTCCCCTCCATGCCCAACCTCTTCCCGTTTTCCATCTGCTAAATACACAGGTTTCCATGTGCTAAATACACAGGTTGCATACAGGACAGGCTCATTTGCTGTTATACCCACTGTGCCCCAATACCTGGATCTGTGCAAAACAGGTCCTCAGGAAGAGGGAAGGCAGACAGGAAGGGGGTCTGCATAGAACCAACATACCTTAAGCGCCCAAACTACTTTGCACTTTCTTCTCTTACTCCTCTTTGATCTTACCTGCACGGTGATGCCTGGAGTGAAGCATTAGGACATGCACCCACTCAATACTTAAGCTCCTTTTCAATAAGGGAAGTTAACTACAACTTTGATACCTGATGGATTATTTGCACATAGCCAAAACAATTAACAATGATTATCTGTCTCTTCCTTCCCATTCCTCCTCAGGGACAGCATCCCTGTGTTCCCACCAGTGTGTCCAGCACCAATCCCAAAACAGGCTGCCAGGGAGCTTTCCTAATACAAAGCAGTACCTGAGAAACACCTCACAGCACCTGCATTCCCCTTTCCCACACTGACCTGAACAAGCTGCTCGGTGTGTTGGTGAAGTTCCTCCAGGATGGGAAGGGTCTGCTCAGGAAGACAGTGCTCGAGGATCCTCTGGATCACACGGCAGCCATATGGATGTGTCGACAAGGCAAAAACCTGCGTGCAACAAGGACAGGCAAGCACAGGCAGCAAGGCTGCTGTTAGTCTTTGGGAATCCTAGAAACCTTTTGGAATTAAGTGAACACATGGCAGGTTTTCCCAGGAACGGGAAGTAATGACAGTTTGCAGCTCTGGAGAGCACGAACTGGAAGCATCTGAGCCCCACGGCCACAGGGCTACCTGGTGATCACATCCCTACCTGTGCTGCAGCTTGCCCTTTCATCAAAGAGGGAAACAAGTGCTAAAGCCTCTTTATTAATACAAAGACCACCAGGATAACCAGGCCTTATTAAACACTGCTTCAGAAGAATAAACCCAGCACACTTGGCCAGCGACCTAGCTGAAGCTATGTAAGAAATGGTCTGACACACACAAGTTAAAAGATGCTCAGCAAAGGATTCCCCTCAACTCTGTGGATTTGTTTAAAAGCCTTAACTGTGCTTAGAGAAGAGACAACAAAGAGCCCTCGTTCTCATTTCTAACGGATTACCAAAGCTGTTGCTAAGAACATGACACATTTTATTACTGCTGCACAAAGTCCCACTTGGCTGCTTAAAATGACCGAAAGCAGCAAATCCAAGCACTGAAGTAAATTGACATTCTACACATTTTTAATAACTATTGAGTAAACTGTGCAAGAAAACAGGACTTGAAGTGCAATTAAACTGCAGGAAGAGTATTGAGGTGATGGCTTTAACCTCCCATATGCAAGTTCAGCTGAAACTGGGGCAACTGGTCAAGGAAGCACCAGTGCCACCAGCCAAGCTCCCAGAGGTATTTTGACTTTGCCCAGTTCCCTAGTGGAAGGTGCAAAGCTAAACTCTTAACCAGCAAATCTGCTGAGCAAGTTTCCAGCTGGAACCCTGCTTGTTCTGACACAGCCAAGCAAGTCCCCACTTTCCCTGCTGTTTCAGCAGCAGCCAAGTGAATAAAGCTGGTTCCTGCTGTAATAACCCCAGGCTATCCTCACATCCCAGTGGCAAAACCCTCAACACTTCAAAATGCTCCTCCAAAGCTGAAGCTGGAAACACCCAAACCAGTGCTTTTGTAATGGAAGAGAAGCTGACTACGGGCAGAATAAAGCCAGCTGCACAACTAAGAGCCAGGACACCAATTCAGGAGAGGATACAAGAAAAAACACGAAAATGAAGTGCAAGAAACTCCCCTTTCTAGCTGCAATTCCTGTTTCTCCTCTCAGCACACACCCTCGGGAAGCAGCAGCCCTCTAAGGATCCCCTCACAGCCAGCGATCATACTGGGAGTTTGCTATACCCATCACTAAACCCTGCTCACCACCTTCACTATGAAGATAGATTAGCAAGAGATTTGCTTTCCCCTCCATCAGCCAGAAATACCTGATTTTCCAAGCAAACAGGGTTTTGCAAGGATGCTTTCCTGTGATCTACCTGCACAAAAATGGTAACAGAGACACGACCAAGAGATTTCAGGTTCCCTAATGCTGCTGCATTACCCTTTCGACAGATACCTGCTGAAATGCATTATGGTTGAACAAGCTACATCCACTCTCACGCTATTCAAAGCAACACATAGGAATAAAAAGATGAGAGGCCAAGGCCTTACCTGTCCCTTAAAGGCATCGATGATGAACTGCAGGGACTGAGGCTGCACACACTCAATACACTTCTGCACCACGTGATTACCGTTCTGGTCCTTCACACACTTGAGGACGTGGCCATCCAGCTCCCGAACCATCTCGTTCTATTGGGGACACAAAGACAAACAGAAAGCACCAGCAGGGCTCATGGCTGAGAAATGCACAGTTTGCACTGCTGAATGGGGCCACGAATATGAACGGGATGAAGGATGCACCATGGACTTTCACCTGGAAGTTCTCCAGGTGCTGAGGTGAAGCTCGCTGTGCTCCAGAAACCAAGACTATGATGAATGGAAGATAAAGCCCTTCTTTCATTAAACATGAGTGTCCTCTTACGAGCATCCACATCTCGTGATCCACAATGATACTGTTCATCCCCCATTCCCTCCTCTGCTCCGCTCCAGGAGAAAGAACTCTCAAATGTCCAAACTTCATGAACTTCTTTGTGTGTCAGCTTCATGTGTGATTACAGTGGGGTAAGAACTTGCTAGTATTTTACACAGCGAGTTAGTGCTGCGAGTTAATGAAGGCATGTGCAGATGAAGTTTAGCTGTGACCAATGGACCCCACGTGCAGGCCAAAACCTTCACCATCAGAAAACAGAGAATGACAGCTTTGGGTACTCCAAAAGCAGCTGAGTTCAGGTTTGCAGCTGGCACAAACCCAGGAGCACAGAGGCCTCAAAACCACCATTCTGGAGGAAGCCAATGGCAAACCCTGGCCATCACCTTGCTGCTGCAGCAGCAGCTTCGCTCTGGCTCAGCCTACAGGGAAATGAGCATTCCTGAAGCCTCATTCAGTTTTCAATGTAATAACCTACATTGAGATTCCTGCATCATGATTCCCAACACCTTTATTAGCTGGCTTGCCCTGTGTGTTTCTCATCTTAATTCATCGCTCATAAAACCCTTGAGGAGCTGCTTTATTAATGAGCTCTGAGTGGGACTCTGGCTATCACCCACATCTCTGTAACACCAGGCCAGGCTTGACAGGAACTGCTGTATGAGGAGGAGTTACTCACTGTAGGAAAGCAGAGTATTGACCCACATATCAAAGCAGTGATATCTCAATGTATATTAAAAGCAAAACCCTGGCACTGCTTCCATCAAGGGATTTAAAAATATCCTTTAATTCACCATCATTCTCAGTTTCCCCTACATACATAATCTGATTTCAGGGAATTAACAGACAACCAACACCACTGCCAGTTAAGTGGAACAAGGAAATGACAACAAGACCCAAGAATGGTGTCACGTACTTCTCATGCACAGGGAACAGGACAACCATGCCATAAACCAAACCAAAAGAACACCAGCCACAAGAGGAAACAGGAGGTCGCAGGTCAGGTACCAAAGGGGAAGGAACGTTAAACATCAAGAAGAAAGTTAAAATTGAGACTTACAATTACCTGCTGGTCTGGGGGAATAAACTCCAGGGCCTTCTGGATCACCCTACAGCCGTACATCTGCAGAGCCAGGGACAGAACATGCCCACGGATACGTTCTGCCAAAGCTAACTTCTGTTCCAGGCTGCCAAACTGGGGAGATGAAAACCAATCACTACAAGCACAGAACTTGGAGAAGAGAAGGCTCCTTAAGGGGAGACCTTAGAGCAGCTCCAGTGCCTAAACGGGCTGCAGGAAAGCTGGAGAGGGGCTTTGGACAAGGGCCTGTAGGGACAGGCCAAGGGGAATGGCTTTAACCTGCCAGAGGGGAGACTGAGATGAGCTCTTAGGCAGAAGCTCTTCCCTGTGAGGGTGCTGAGGCGCTGGCACAGGGTGCCCAGAGAAGCTGTGGCTGCCCCATCCCTGGCAGTGTTCAAGGCCAGGTTGGACACAGGGGCTTGGAGCAAGCTGCTCTAGCGGAAGGGTCCCTGCCCGTGGCAGGGGTTGGAACTGGATGAGCTTTAAGCTCCCTTCAACCCAGACCTGTGAGTGTATGAAAACCCTCAAGTGGCCAAGTGTCACAGCAGCCCTCCCCTGCTGTCACACTGCAGTGATAAACTGTGCCTATGGAAAAGAAGGAAAACACCCACGACACCTCAATGGATGTAAAGAGGCACAAGCCAAGTGTCTGTTCTATGTCTGTCAGACGTGCCCAACATGTGAAACAAACTCGAGTCAAAGGTGCTGGAGCCACCAGGGTGAGATGTGCCAGCTCTCTAACCCTTGACAGGGTCAATACAAAACTACTGGACAGAAGAACCACAAGGGCTTGGTGGGGAAGGAACAGCCCTGTTTGAAGGAGAAGAGATGTGTGTCTGCCCAGCCTCCTGGTGTGACACCACCACGCTTTGCTCCAGCGGATGCTCTTCACTGGGAAAGTTTCTCTTTTGCTCCTAAACACGAGTACTGACAGCTCGGCACAGCACCCATGAATGCTCTGTTGGGCCTACATCTCCTGAGTATGTGGCTATTTATTCCTACACCTCCTCCATCTCCAAGCAAAGCGTTCCTTTTCAGATGAATCTTTGCAAGTCCCGCATCAGTCACCCCAATAGGAACGATTCAACAGCCCAGCGGGAGGAGATGTCAGCAGTGCTGACAGATACCCACTGGTTTAGCCAAAAATCAGGGTTTCCATGAGCTCATCCAATACCTCAGGACAACATACGGCAGAGTAAGACTTGCAGGGGAACACAGACTTACTTCAAAGAACTTCTGGATGACGTAATTCCCAAACACATCGACCATCAACTGATAGGCTGCCTGGAGGATCTCATTGAACACGAGCTGACGTTCTGCTGGGGTTGCACGCTCCAGTTTCAGCTGAATAAACCTGGAAAACAGGGCTGGTGTGACGCTGCTGGCACATACACCCTCTACACAGCTGTTAATCCAAACCCTTCCAAGAGCCTCACGCACTAAGCTCCTGCAAAGCAAATCTTAGATGCAGTCACCTTATCCAGCAATCTGAGACCTGAGCGTGGTGGCAGCCATGAGGTCCGTGGCCACACGTCATTGCTGGTACCCCAAAAACCTCCTCACTCCAAGCAAAGTGGATCTCAGCAGAGTAGTGCTTCACGGTCTTGTGTCCAGAAAGCTCTTCCTAATGAGTTAAGCTATGCCAGTGGGCCTAGCTAGCAAACTGCAAAGCAAGCAAGCTCCTCTTCAGAGGAGGAACTCCTTCTATCCCCACTGGTACCCAGGCAGCCTTTAAAAAGAAGGCTCAGAGTGTTCCACCACTTGGCTCTTCACACCTCCTTTTCCCTGTTCTGCCTCATTCCTTCAGGATGGGATGCAAACTGCAAACGATGCTGACTCAAAGAGCAGCTTTCCCAAAAGCCTCCCCCACAGCACGAGGTTTTTAAAGCCCACCTGGATCCGTGCTGATCCTGGGAGAACTCCATGATGTGCCCGGCGATCTCCCTCAGCTGTAAGTTGGGGTAGCGGTTATTGCGGAAGTCCTCAAGGAGCCTGCTCCGGCCGGAGGGCATCACATCTGACATCCCATAGCGCAGGCGGGAGGAAGGGAAGAGCGTGCTGCTGGGGCTGAAGAGGCTGGAGGCACTGCTGGCGCTGCGGTACTTGGCTTCAGCTCCAGGAGCAGCTGAGATGTAGCGGCCGCTGCCGTTTGTGAGCCCTCCTGCAAGGAAACCACATCAGTTGGATGGGGACGTGGTCCAGCACCGATCCTCAGTGCTCAGTTAGGAACAGCTACTACAGGTTTCAGTGAGGAACAGGCTGGAAGAGCTTCTGGTGTCAAAACTGCCTAAACCAGACACATGTCAAGCCCAGTGCTGGCAGCTTTTCACTCACTTCTTGTTTCCAGGTCCCCTTTCCTCCATCCTCAGGTTTTCCCACACCTACCCTGCTGCTGTGTCAAGGACTGATTTCTCTTCATCAGGGACTGTAGTGACAGGATAAGGGGGAATGGGTTTAAACTGAAACAGGGGAAGTTCAGGTTGGATATGAGGAAGTTCCTCCCTGTGTGGTTGCTGAGGCGCTGGCACACGGTGCTCAGAGAAGCTGTGGCTGCCCCATCCCTGGCAGTGTTCAAGGCCAAGCTGAACAGTGCTTTGGGTGACATCGTCTAGTGTGAGGTGTCCCTGCCCATGGCAGGGAGTTGGAACTGGATCATCTTAAGGTCCTTTCCAATCCAAACCAGTCTGTGATTCTATTATAAGAAGCACACTGGGGATGGGAGTCAGGATTAAGATGAAATTAGGCAAGAAAAAGGCAGCAAGAAGGCAATAAACCCCCAAATCATTATTAAATACAGGCAAATAACAATAAATTAAAAGCAATAAATAAGTACTTTTTAAATCTGTGCTTTCACAAACGTTCTGAAGATGTCCACCCCATTAAAAATCCACCCTGTTACCCAACAGCAGGGATGGGGGAACAGGCAATGATTCACAATGTAGTCAGTGCATTGTGTGCACTGATAGGAGCCAGCTTAAACCCTGAAACACCACTTCCTTGCATATCAGCTTTCAGATTCCAAGCTACAGAGGACTCTTCCCTTTCCTGCAGGGCTCGGGATCCCTCTGCTGGTCAGAGACCACAAGGTGCCTCCAGAGAGTACGCATGTTCTAGGTGGGACAAAGTCCTCCCAAGGAAACTGCTGTTATCCTATGGGAATCTGCCAGCTGAGAGGCCAACGGGAACAGAAAGGGCAAAGCTGGAAAGTCCTGGCAAAAGAAGGGAGACCTTCAGGGCAAACGGTGGTGGGGATGTGTGAAAGAGAACACACCTTCTCCTGCAGCTGCACACACAACCCTGCCTGAAATCGATACTACCTAAAGGAACAGCTGAGTGAGCTGCACTCTGCAGCTCCAGCAGTGCCTGGAGGAAGCTCCCATGCAGGAAACCCTACATGAGAATGAAGTATCTGATAACAGCCTAATTATCTTCTCCTGCCTCTGAGCTGGGTGAACATGTTCTGACTTCTACGGAGCTGGTGCCAAACCTGCCCTTTCTCAAGGAGAAGGAGACTTGAAAGCTCCTTGGTCACATCTCTGTCTCACACTGCCTTACCAATGGTGTGGCCATCATCTTCTCTATCTACCTGACTGAGCAGAACTCCACAAAGTGACCAAGTGACGTTCCCCACAAGGCTATGCAAAGGAACAGTAAATCACTGCACAGGTAAAAGGAAAACCAACAGGGACAAGCCCAGCAATGGTGTACCTATGATACCCACGGCATTCCAAGAGCTCAGAATTACTACTTGTTTTTTGAAAGCCTGGAGCAAGTCAGAGTCACAGCAATGGAAAATGAGTTCCTGATCACCAGCAAAGAGCTGTCAAGAGGAAGGAGTGCAGCCCTCACACTGCTGTCACCCATGAATTATCTCGGAGTTGAGAGGGAAAGCACAGTTTGTACAGAAAATGTCTCCATCAGAGGTTTTAAAAGAAAAACCTTCTGATCTTTTTGGAGATCCAAAGCAAACCACAAATTACTCCAGTTTTCTTCCCACGTCTCCCAGTGGAGATGCTGAACATCATCCTGGGAATGAAGAGACCGCAATGGGGACAGGTTTCCCAAATCAAGCTCTTCTGAAACTCACCAGTCAAGCACCAAAGGCCAGAAACCTCAGAGCAGCTCACGATGGGAAGGCCCACAGTGACTTCTGGGGCACAACCCATCCAGGTCAATAGTAACTCCTCTCTCCTTCCAGTTTGTTCTCAAACAGATCCAACCCATCCCTGAGCCACTTCTGAAGATTCATTCTTCTATCTGCCTGCAGGGGTAACAAACTCTTTCTAGGGCCTGATTTGAGTCTGCTTAGGCTTCAGCATTAATTTATTGTAGCTATTTAACTGTCAGCTTCAGGCCTGTACAGCTGCATAAATAAAGCTAAACCCCTTCCAATTCCATTAAAGCTCTGAACAAGGGAAGATGGTAAATCTAAACTTGATCTTAAAATCATACTTATTACGGCTCCATGCTACCCTTTAGCCAGCATTCAGTTTATCACACAGGCATGTAATAAACATGATAAACAGCATTTTATGAGTGCACACATGCATGGAAAACTGTTCTGATAACCAAGTTTTGTTAAATCCAGACAGATACATGATAAAACCAGAGATTTTTGAGCAAGTACTGGTGCAGAAAAAGGAATAACCTACCTTATTTGCTTACAATACCTGGAAATGAACACTTGAGGAAGTTCAGGTGAGCACTGCTTTGTTCTTTAACACTTGCTTTATCTGTTTTATTACAGGTAAGAGCTCTGGGTTAACTAGAAGCTCTTCCAGAAGATGTACCCTGTATACAGTAATGCATCTTACCAGAATTAAGGAAGTCTCTCCCATGCACTGATGTGCTTTTTGATAAGGCCACATTGATGGCAGATTTTCAAACACAACCACACAAAATCCTCAGCCAAGAGCTCTGGGCTGCTCCAAATAAGATTGCATCTTGTGGTTAGAAGAAGAAGCTGACTTCTAAGTTCATTCCTTATTGAAAACTTAATGGGTATTTTAAACCATCTGACAAGATGTCTTGTTTTATTTTGTATCAATTCTCTATTTTAATCCAGGGCAACACACAATAAGTGCTGTTACCAAGATCTGTGCAAGAAAAAGTGTGTCATTCAAACACTTGAGAATGTTACCTCTAACTTAGGGACGAACAAACAGGGAACTAACAGAGAGGTGGGACCATGTAAACCTCATGAAGCCTGAAGATAGGCTGAGGAAGCTGGGCTTGTTCAGCCTGGAGAAGAGAAGGCTTCTCAAGGGGAGACCTTAGAGCAGCCTAAAGGGGCTACAAGAAACCTGGAAAAGGGCTTTGGACAAGGGCCTGTAAGGACAGGACAAGAGGGTTAGAACTGGATAAGCTTTAGGGTCCCTTTCAACCTAAACCACTCTGTGATTCTATGATTCTATGAAACCTTCCTATCTACAGCTGAACTGCTGCAAGAGTCAAACACAGGACTTGATGGTACTGTGTCTTTTCCAGCCTAAATGATTGATGATTCTATACCATGGATGCTACAGCTCCTGCTTCAGTGTTTCACCTCCTTCTACACAAGCAGAGACCCTGCTGCAGGAGTAAGAGCAGGCCCTCTGCAGCAGGTATCTCACCTACACAACAGTGCAGGGGTGGTCACACCTAGAGCACAGCAGCAACCTGCAGTGCTGCACTGTGGCTCTTACCCAGGTTTAAACTTGAAGATGATCCATGTGAGGATAAGGAAGGTGGCGGAGTCTGCGAGTGGCCAGGTCCTTGGCTGGGCAGAGGCATTCCCACAGGTCCAGGAGAGGAGGAAAACCCAAGGCCATTATAAAAACTGTGTCCTATAGGTGTCAAACTGCTGGATGTCCTCTTGTACAGGTCACTGCTCCCTGTAAGGGAGTCTCGGCGGGAGCCACTGCCCGTGTTGGAGTTAGCAACTGGAAAGAGGAAGAGAGTCAAGTTGGGTGATGTCAACAAGCTGCTGAGACAGCCAGAGAAGGGCACCCATTAGCAGCCATATAGCACCAGGCTGTTTTCCTACAGGTGCTGCATGTGCCCCAGTGAAATGCATTCATTAAATCCACAGCTGATGCTCAAGCAGAAAATCCCCGAGTTAAAAATGAGTCTGAATCCCGGCTTTACTCTTTGGCCATCAGAACTAAACCAAATCCAAAATGAGATTTGATCTACTCCTATTTACTCAAGACCATGTACAGCTTCATGTATGTTTGCTTGGAATCCTCATGTTCATTATTCACTACATCAGAGACCAGCTCCTGCTCGCACCAGCTTCATTGAGATGGGAATCAGAAGTCGATTGAACACATAAACCCAATGGATTTTGAAGAGTTGTCTCAATACTCAAAGACAAACTCTTTAAATGTGTTGTCAAATTGAGGAAAAAAAAATCAATTTTGCATTAAATTCTTGCTTAATAAATAGTGAAACTGTTACCTGTAATGAACCAAGCACCTTTCATGGCTGCACACAAGCTCTAGAAGCCAGAACCTCACATTTCTGTCCACTGATTGAGGGAAAACACGTTTGTGCATCTTGGCATTGAGCAAATTCTTAACTGAATTCAGTGAGTTAAACTGAAACAGAAAAGGTGAATCCTGTTTCCCTGAAGCCAAGATGGCTCCAAATCTCAGGCTTAAGACAAATATCCAGACTAACTTGTGTTTAACACCAGGATTTGATGCAGCGACAGGATGTGCCTCAGTCTTTTTGGATGGAGCAGGCTCAAAAGGCATGTTTTAACTTGCCCTTACACTGATGAAAGCAGGGAAGTTCAGGATAATTACTACCTCTGAGCCTAAGCAGTAATTAAAACAATTGTTGTACTTCAGAAAACACAAACCTAAGGAATAAAAAATACCCAATCCACAGACATCTTTCTGCTTTGGCTTTATTCTGAGAAAAATCTTTGTCTCCAACTGCCTATAACAAAGGAATGAAAAGAAAGCGTGTGGAGCATTTCTTGCAACCACATTAAATGACCTTTTCTTGGTGTCTGATAAAAAACTCCCAGAATAAAGCATGGAAAGCACCTCAGGTCAGCTTTTTTGAAGTCATGAGAAGTTACTCAGACATTATCCTGAGGTAAGAAGAGTTTGAACATGGGTGGATACTGCTCCCGAGCCAATCCCTGTTAGCCCAGTGCCTCCACCAAGCACGGCAGGTAAAGGCAAGGACATCCAAACCTGTTTTAAAACTTAATCTGTAGCAACAAGGGGATGACTGATCACGTGTACAACCAAACAAGTTCATTACTTTGGTACTTCGAATTGTATCATCTACTAAAAGCAGTTTCACCAGCAAGCGCTGCACATTTTGAAAGCCAAAGTATTGCTAAGGGAAAATCACCATTTAATCTACATGGATTTAACTTCCATTTCCAGTCAATCTCCAGGCTGAGAGAGCTGGGCTGGGGCAGCCTGGAGAAGAGAAGGCTCCTGAAGGGGAGACCTGAGAGCAGCTCCAGTGCCTGAAGGGGCTACAGGAAACCTGGAAAGGGGCTTGGCACAAGGGCCTGTAGGGCTTTAACCTGCCAGAGGGGAGACTGAGATGAGCTCTTAGGCAGAAGCTCTTCCCTGTGAGGGTGCTGAGGCGCTGGCACCAGGGTGCCCAGAGAAGCTGTGGCTGCCCCATCCCTGGCAGTGCTCAAGGCCAGGTTGGACACAGAGGCTTGGAGCAAGCTGCTCTAGTGGAAAGGGTCCCTGCCCGTGGCAGGGGTTGTAACTGGATGAGCTTTTAAGGTCCCTTCCAAAACAAACCAGGCTGGGATTCTATGAATGGCTGAGCAGCTTGCACAGCCCCTCACTGCATGTAAAGCTGTCTACACCTCTTTCTTCCCCAGGAAGACCCCTGTGCTCTTACCTGCTGTCCCAAACCCTCCCAGCGCAGAGCCCAGTGTGGCACCAAGAGAGCTGCTGCTGCCGAAGCCCAGGGAAGTGTTGGCAGGTTGGGCAGAGCCCTGAGAAAAGAGCGAGCTGCTCTGGGAATTGCTGCTCAGCGAGTTGTTGCCATAGAAGGAGCTGGATGCCAGGTTGTTGGTGGGCTGCTGCTGGGGCTGGGGTTGGGGCTGCTGAGTTCCCAGAGGGCGGAATGGTCCGTTTGTGGTTCCTGCCAGGCCGCCCGCTGCCCCGTTGGCTGAAGCTGCAGCCGCTGCAACCGCTGCAAAGGAAGAAGCAGAGACTGAAGAAGTCCATTTCCACACCAGTTTTAGCACTTAAAACACAGCAGTTTCCTTGTATTTACTAGAAACCTTTTCCTTTCAGGATGAAAATGTCCCTTTTACCTCAAACTCTGCACAAAGTGTCTTCACTTCATACCCGAGCTCCACAAGTCTTGCACAGAGCTCCTGAATACCAATAGTGCCTCCTTATTATAACTGCCTGGATTATGAGAGCTGTGTGGATGAAACACACAAAACCAACCCCTCTCTCCCAAGATCCAACGTGCAACTCAACACAGGCACACACTGGGCAATATCCACTTAAGAAACACAAGTTTTGAAAGAAGCAAAATTGCCCTTTAGTGCCTGAAACACAACCCTGCAGGGAGGGCCAGGAACATCAAACTCCAGGGCTTTTGGGTTTCAGCCAGTTCTAAAAGTAAAAGAAAAAGCAAAATAAACAAGAGCTACAAGGAAACAATTAAAAGGCCCATTTCATAATCTGTTACTAACCCTGGCAAAGACTGCTTACATGTACAGATTCTGCCTGAAAAAAAGGCTTTTAAAGCCTTGAACTCCCAAAGAACCCTAATAAAACCCGACCCAGCTCCTGGCAAAGGCCAGGCTTGTAACATCTTACGCAAGGTGATCATTTGGGAGCTCTACAGAGGCTAAAAGCTTTTATTACGTGGGAAACTAGATGCCAGCAAAGTCCTATGGAGACAGGCTGAGAGAGCTGGGCTGGGTCAGCCTGGACAAGAGAAGGCTCCTTAAGGGGAGACCTTAGAGCAGCTCCAGTGCCTAAAGGGGCTGCAGGAAACCTGGAGAGGGGCTTTGGACAAGGGCCTGTAGGGACAGGACAAGGAGAACAGCTTTAACCTGCCAGAAGGGAGACTGAGATGAGCTCTTAGGCAGAAGCTCTTCCCTGTGAGGGTGCTGAGGCGCTGGCACAGGGTGCCCAGAGAAGCTGTGGCTGCCCCATCCCTGGCAGTGTTCAAGGCCAGGTTGGACACAGGGGCTTGGAGCAAGCTGCTCTAGTGGAAGGTGTCCCTGCCCGTGGCAGGGGTTGGAGCTGGAGGAGCTTTAAGGTCCTTTCCAACCCAAACCAGGCTGGGATTTGATGAAATTTAAGGAACTGTCATGAAACTGCAAAACAAAAGTTCATGTGGTGCTGCCCACGTGAGGCTGCTCTGGAGGCTCAGCCCACAGTGAGCACAGAGATGTTCTCACCAACAATCCCCACAAGGGATCTCAGTGAGGGCAAGTGTGTCATCATCGCCAGCAGAGCCCGAAGGGTTCAGGTCTCCCTCCACCAAGGTTAGAGCAGAATTCCAGCTGCTGGGACTGGGACTCACCTGCTTGAGCTGCAGAGGAGCTGATGATGACAGGAGCGGGGGCCACCAGGCGGACAGGGGCCCCCAGACCGTTCCTGGCCCCTGCATTCACCACCAGAGCACCCGTTTGGTCATAGTAAGCAGCAGGAGCCAGCACTGGGTAACCTGAAGAAGCAAATTACAGGGGCAGAGGTAAGGTGACAAGCAACACAGCTCAGGGCAGATCCATCACCTTCAGATGAGCGTGGTGCAACAGGACTGTGAAAGGAAAATCTGCCTGGAAAAAGGCAGCTCCACTTCTCCTGCAGAGGAATGAACTGTATTAACAGTTTATAACTTCACACTAGTAAGATTTTCAGGTAGAAAAAAGTTTTTTTTTATCCCTAAACCTACTACACTAGCATTACCCTCAGTGTCAATTCAGTTATACACATAAAAAAAAGGTCTTATAATACCAAAGCACTCTTTCTTTTCCATTGCAAGTAGAAAGTGTACTGCAACTCTACACCCACATCAACATGCTGTACTTCCAACTCTCCCAGTGAAGCCGTTCAGTGTGCACACAAGTTAGGGATTCCTGAAGGTGTGTATCACATCAATATAGGTAAATACAACCTCCTAAATCAAATATGCTGGTTGTACACAAAGAAACAGACTCTCAGCAGCATACAGGTATTTAGGTACCTTGCCATCTAATTCTCCCTGCCCATGGCAGGGGGTCGGAACTGGAATGATCTATAAGGTCCCTTCCAACTCAAACCAGTCTGGGACTCTATGATGATTCTACAGCTAAATAAATCCTTCAGAATGAAGTGAAGTGCTTCTCTAAGGTGAGGCCAGAAAGAGAATGCTCTCTGTGGACATCTGCTTTGCAAATAAACCCTCCTAAACCCCACTAATGAAGCTTTAAGGAGCTCTGCAGATTGTTTGGAAACATGTCTAGAGTCTGACATTCCACTTCATAACTTAATACAGCAACAGCCTTCTTAAACCATAAAAAAACCCATGTAACAACCTTGCGACCCTTCTTGAGGTCAAAATAATCCTGTTCTGTCCCATCTGACCAGCCAGGCATACTTGCATGTGCCCTTTGCCATTACAAGAATATTCCATATAATGGAATGTCAGAAGCATTTCTCCCCTAGCCCCATGGAGCAGAGGCAGAAGTCACACAGCAGCTCCTCTCTTGCAGAACTGCAAATGAGAATAAACCCTCCTTCCTTTCCTTTGTTTTCTTTCCTTGTGTTTAAGCCACCAGTATTTGCCTTGAAGAAATGAGTCAGGGGAAGGCCCTATCCTGCTTAAAGACAAGCACTTGGAAGGGATGGAGAAAGGAGGCTAATGAACAGGACTAAGACACCTCTGAGGTTTTAAACTAAAGATCCCATAAGCTAACATGATCCACAAGAAAACCTGAAGGCAGCTTTCCATAGGCAACTGAGTACACAAACTACTAATGCACCTCCAGCAATGCAGCTGATAACATCTGTCACCCGGACACCTAAACCCTGATTTAACTACTGTCAGATTGTGGGGTTTACATTTAACAGCCTCTCAAAAATGCTTTGTAAAGCTAGAAATTAATCCCAAACCCTAATAAACCCAGGATGCTGCTGAATGCCAGGTGAATGGGACACCCCCAGAGACACAGACACAGCTTCCTCAGCCCTGCCCTGGCGACATGCAGCTCCCCAGAGCCCTACCTGGCATCCCTGCTGCCAGCCCCTGCCCAAAGGCAAGGGCAGAGTTGACAGCTGCAGCAGCCACCAGTGGGTCAGTCTGCTGTCCCTGCTGGTTCTGGTTGGGGGTCAGTGGGCGCTGACTGGCTCCTCCACGGAGAACCTGCAGGAGACAGAGAAACATCACATCAACGTGGTTGCTTTGGGACCCAGGAGCAAGCTGCAACCTTGCAGGAGTGTGAGCACGGATGCAGCTGAAGTTCTTGCACAACGAGTGCATGACAAGCCCTCCCTTTACTCAGGACAGAGCTGCCTTTGCCACCACCAGCCTTGTCACTACCACCACGGTAAGTGGTAAGACCCAGTTGAAGTAACAAACCCCCCTCAGGCTGAGTGTAATCTGGACGTGCTTCACTATCTGCTGCATCATTTCTTGATCCACCTTCAGTACTCATCATTGTTAGAAACCAAGCCACCAGCCCCATTCCCAGTAATGGCTGGTCTCTGCCATTGAAACCCCCACTCGAGCAGAACCCTCAAGAAGCCCAGTGTGGGAGCTGGGGCTGGTGACAGGAGATGACAGGGGTTGTTCCAAGCCAAAGGTCCCCATAGAAAACAGCGCCTCAGTGACATGACATTTGCTCATCACTGGCAATAATGACCAAAGATCACATGCTGCCTTTTATATGCAGCTCTTGTGGTGTAAGCACAGGCTGCTCTGAGGGGAAGATGGCAAAGTGACCTTTCCTGTAATTACCTGTGGCAGGCTGGGCTCGCAAAAGCCTTTTGCCCAAAGTGGTGATGCAAGAGTTTGCTGCTGCTTTGCAGAAGCTCTCTTAGCACACACCCTCCTCATGGGGAGAGGTTCCCATCTGAATGTCAAAGCCTAAGTGCCTGCCGCACACTCAATGCTGGTTCACCTGCGTGCAGGAGCTCTGAGCCACACACTCCTGTCTGTGAACTGCCATGTGGGGAGATGTGATGATTAAACTGTCAGGAGCAAAGTGTTTTCCTCCAGATCTGTGGTCCACAGTTGTTGGTGTGAAACATCACTGGTTGTACGATCCAAAAAGGCCTCATAATACAACCCCACCCTGGGTTTGGCTTTAGTTTTTGAAGCAGAAGCTAATAAATTCTGTTGCCAAGTGCTCTCTTCTATAACTGTACCATGAGGACCAGGAAGGAAGGTCTGTGTTACTATGAGAAAGGAGCCGCCTCGCTCTTTGGAAGGGTAATGAACCCATTTGGTCTCTAAGCAGGAAGTATCGTGGGACAGAGGCCAGCAAAACTGGAGAAAACCAATGTCAGGCAAGGACCAGAGCTTAAAAATACCAGACAAACAAGCTGGGGCCATGTCAGAGCTGGCTGGGAAAGAGGAGCCTGAATCTGGTTTCTGACACCCATCCTACGGGTCCCGCTTTCTCTAAAAGGAGAAAAGCAAAGCATATCCCACTGCGTGGCCAAGGGGATCGTAACCAAAGCAAGGGCAGCGGAACGCCCCTCGGCCTTCCAGCACTTAATCACTTGGTTTAGCAACCATCAGTTTCGTCTGAAAGCTTGGATTTGTTTTCTTTAACTCTGGAAACCTGGAGAAGGGCTTTGGACAAGGGCCTGTAGGGACAGGCCAAGGGGAATGGCTTGAACCTGCCAGAGGGGAGACTGAGATGAGCTCTTAGGCAGAAGCTCGTCCCTGTGAGGGTGCTGAGGCGCTGGCACAGGGTGCCCAGAGAAGCTGTGGCTGCCCCATCCCTGGCAGTGTTCAAGGCCAGGTTGGACACAGGGGCTTGGAGCAAGCTGCTCTAGTGGAAGGTGTCACTGCCCATGGCAGGGGTTGGACCTGGATGAGCTTTAAGGTCCCTTCGACCCCACACACTCTGTGACTCTATGAAGTGAGGGTCAGGAGCTGTCACTGAAAGAAGATCAGGGTTCTTCCCAACTGCTATGTTCATGATGTGATGTTCCAAGCACCCTGGCCCTTACCTGCTGCTGGCCCTGCTGGGTTTGCTGGGTTGTCTGCTGGCTGGCTGAGTTGGTGGCAGCAGCGGCAGCGGCTGCTTGCTGCTGGAAGAGGCTGGCAGGATACACTCCCCAGGGAGTAACTCCATAGTACTGGTGAGGAACAACTGCTGGGCCTGAAACACCAAGGACACGGGTGAGCTTCTCCAGCGTGACAGGAGTTACACAGCAAACAGTCACCGAGATACCTGCTCCTCACGTCTGGTTTAACAAAGCCCATTTCCAGGTGATCTGCCTTAAACCCTTTGCACACACACAGGGATTCTGGCAATTGTATTCTTCATTTCTGAAGAGCTCAGAAGTCAGACCTGAAATTCCATCTTTACTTGCTTTTACCTTTCTGGATGAGGTCAGGTTCTGGTATTAGTGATCTTGTAGAACCCTGGGTTTGTTGTTGAGCCCTAGTTTTATAGCGGAAGAACAACCCTCTCTAAGCAAAGAAGGAGGAAAGTACAGAGATATACAAGTTTCTCCTATCTCAGCTGCCATACACAGCTCAATAACATCCATCATTTAACTCCCCAATAAATTAAGAACCCCCCTGGAGAGCATCAGTTCCAAGGGTTGAAAACGTTGTTTCTCCAGCCACTCAGTCCTCCTTTGCATCTGCAAACCACCACCAAGGAGGCTGTGTCATCCTTTGTCTTTTCACATCCCTCCTCAAACTTCAGAGGCTCAGGAAAAAAGGAAATCATCCCAGAGAGCACCAGGCAAAGCCTGAACTGTTGAAGATTCAGTGTGTTTCATCACGTCTCAGCACAGCACACGCTCTCATGGCAGCCTGGAGTAATTCTAGCTGGAGGAAGCAGTGAGCACTCTGTGCTCAGTGGTGGAGTCCCTCCCACAGATAACACGTATGTGAATCCAACAGCGTTCTTTAATATGTCTGTTCCTTAACACTGGGAATGGACAGCAGAAATGGAGAAGTATTTCCTTTGCTTTTCAAACCATCCCATGGGCTCCTTCCCCACAGCAGCAGTAATAACTTACACCACACCACGTTTAAGGCAGAGTGCCATAGTCGTATTTCACACTGAAGAATAAACAGGACTTCAGTGGATTCAAACCACAGACTTGTTCATATATGGAATAAAAAAAGCTTTTATTTTGAGAGACAGTTGGTATTTGAGTTCTAACTGAGCCGAGCTGTGGCTGCTCCATCCCTGGCAGTGTTCAAGGCCAGGCTGGACACAGGGGCTTGGAGCAAGCTGCTCTAGTGGAAGGTGTCACTGTCCATGGCAGGGGTTGGACCTGGATGAGCTTTAAGGTCCTTTTCAACCCAAACCAGGCTGGGATTTTGTTAAATTCCTATTTCAGAAGTGTAATAATAACTCTCCTTTTATTATTTTGTTTTTATCCATTATACTTCCCTCATATTTAGGATTTTGTAAGCATCATCACTGACCATGCCCAGCTCCATGTACACACAGTGATGTGGGAGACGTCACAAGTAGCCCTTTGCCTAACTGCAGGCACTTCAGCAATACCTTCTGAGCAGCTGGATTTGTATCTCACACTAAATCTCTGCCACAGCACCCACCCTGGCTGGGTTTACTGGGCACCATCAGGCACAGACAGCAACTTGCCTGTCCCACTCATATTTGTCTTGCAGCAACAGCCACTTGTTTCTTACCTTCCAACCTGGGAATTATATAGCTAAAATGGATAAAAGCTGCAGGAAATGAACCATCCCCACCATGGCAGTGCCTATCTTGACCTGAGCACCTACAGCCATATGGCTCATGGGTGGAGTAGAACCTGTTTAGAGTCAGTTAATGCAGACCAGACACAGGTGCTTCTGCACTCGTTGCAACTGCTCCATTTTATGCAAGTAATAACCCGGTGTTTGCCCTCAGGCTACCAGGATGTTGCTGCAACACGCTTTATCTGGGCAGAATTCGGGCATCTCTCTGGCTTATTTTAATCTCAGTTCTAATTATCAAACAAGCACAGTCTGGATGGGGATTTTTTTTTCCCTAGTAAGAGGTTGCTGATTGGATCTGCAAGAGCCTTAGGTGTGTTTGAAAGAAGAAAAGACATGGAAGGCTTTGAAGTCTGCAGGCAGCTGGGCTTAAAAGAGCTGCAAGTCTGGCTCAGCTCATTTGCGCACATGGAGAGGCTCATTATTGAACAGTGTTCTCAGTGAGGGCAAGTGTGTCATCATTGCCAGACTTTACCCAAACACCCAGAGTGTTGCTTGACTTCAGGAGATCTTGTACCTGCTTTTACACTTAGTAAAGACAGGCACACACGAGCAAATAAAAGCCTTTTTGGTGCCTATGAAATCAAAGATTCCCACTACTACGTCTCGCGCATCAGCCACAGACACCCACAAATAGTCCTTTGTAAGAAACATTAGCAAATCCATGGGTGTGTTTGTAACAAATCCTCTGCTTTTCATCTCAGCTTTGGCACCCAAGTCTCTTTAAGCTCAAGCCATACCTGCCCCTCCAGCCAAGAATGAGGGCTTGGGGACCACCATGTCAAAGAGCCTTGAGAACCTCATGTCTGAAAACACACAGCTTCAAACTGTATCTACTATTAGTGACTTGTGACTGCTTCAGAATTACCAGTACAGCAACTGAGGGTACTAATGGAGCTGTGGATTTCTAGGGATGGGGATGAGGACCAGCTCATCTCCAATGGCTCCAATGCAGCCTCATGCAAGCAAGCCCTGTGTCCAGCGCTGAGGCAGAGCAGAGGTACCTTTGCATGACGCTGTGCCTAAGGCAATGGGGAAAAGCCAGCTGGATCTGCTGCCCTAAATCCGAGCCCTCAGTGATGTGTGCAGGCATCCATACTGGTCCCCAGCTCTGAGCTGGGTCAGCAGTGAAAGAGGCTCCTCAGAATGCCAAGCTGAGAACCACAACACAGGCGCATCCAAATCCACTCCCCTCAATCCGTAAGTGCTGCTTTTTCCTGCATGCAGCCTAATCCAGCATCCACTTCTCCACAAAGCACAGGAACACTTTGCTCCCTGTCCCACATCTCAGAGGGAACCAGCATCTCCAGCTTGTCATACAAAAGCCAGCATTTCTTTATGAGTGACATCTCTCTCAACTGATAGAAGGCAATTCCACAGCACTTTCTGAAAGCGGCAGTCATCTTCCTCATGCTTTAAACTCACAAGTGATTTCTTCTTGAGCCTAGGGACCCTTTCCCTCTGCATTAAGATCCCTTCTTTAAAATGCTACTATTATTGGAAGGAAAAGAGCACTGCCACATTGTCACAGGGCTGACACTCAAGAGTCATGAAAAAGCTGCTGTAATGGCAGAATCTTAACGACAGAATTATCTCTGCCATAAAACACATGCAAGTTTCCCCTCTGCTCTAAGAGTGGAGCAATAAACTACCAACAACTCTAAACTCATTATTTCTTCCATCTCATAAACTTCTCCAGGTCTTCCCAATTTTACCCTCCCATACACATCAGGGAGGCATCTGACTCCATACATAGCTCTCACCATCTGAACTGTCCCCTGTCCCTTCAGTGCTGCACTCATCACAGATGAAGACTTTCAGAACTGCTCAAGTTCAGACAGAAAAGATGCTTATCCTAAAGCAAACATCAACTGCAACTCTGTTACGTTGCCATTTCAAGCTGTCAGGGTCCAAAGCCCAGTGAGGTGGATGGAGTAATTTCTATTTCTCCAGGGTGTAACACTGTAAGTACACTGCAGTGTGTTACACATCCTTTTGTTTGGCTTTCTGGAGTCATAAAGTCTAGAAATGATTCAAATAGAGACCCTGATGCCAAGTTTTTGGGATGCTTTAGGTATCCTGGGGTGCGTTATTTCCTAGTTGAAGATACTCAGGCAGCTGCAGCTTCAACACGGCTGAGAAAAAGGAGAAGAAAACAGGCTGCGGCAAAGAGACTTCCATTTTCCTGGAAATCTGGCAACAGTTCCATGTGCCTTTCTATGAAATCAAGACACTGACCTCCTGCTCTGCTGAACTCCATCACTCCTTCCAAATGAGCACTGCCTTTTAAAAGCACTGAGCTGATGCAAAGAGGCCAACCAGAATCCTCCTTCTATAGTAATCACTTACACAGCCCCTCTTCCGACACGGACTGGAACTGCTCGTGCTCCAGCACCTCTCCCCTGCTAAATCCTGGCTGAAGCTCCTACTCGTATTTGCCATTGAGAGTTCAGGTCATTCATTCACTACCACACATTCATCATCACATGCTAGTTTATCAACTCCTGGACTGTTAGGAATATCCTTGTACTCTAGCTCTTGGCTTTCCTCCATTTAATCACAGTGTCATTTGTTTGCCAACATGTTGTTACCTAACGTTAATCCTGCATTGTTATTATGCAATCAGCACACAATGCTCACAGCAGTCAAAAAGTCCAAAGCCCACAGCTTTCAATTATAATCTTCATTCTTTACATCCATCCATATGATGCATTAAAAAAGCCATCCAAGCGGGTAACAGTTGCTGAAATCCCATTTCGGAGCTTGACCTGATGCTGGCTCAAAGCTTAAGAGCTCAGCAGTGTTGTGTAAGAGCTCTTCAACACCCCAAAAAGTCACGTACCAAACCCCAGTGCTCTTTGGCAGAGTGACAGCCAATGTCTTATGGCTTTGATTTGGTACAAGCCACCCCACAGTGAGTTCTAAATGGAGCGTGGCAACAGCATGCAGGCTCTGCTGGAAACCACCTCTGCTCTGAACTAAACAGGTTTCACTTCAGGTGCAGGCTTCCTCCCTGGTGGCTCCAGGACAGCAAAGCGTGGTGATAAAGCTGATCTTCTGAAAGAACGCTCTTCCTTTGTCCTCAAGGCTTAGGCAAGAGCCTTATGGGATCCGCAGCACAAGTTCAATGTACAGTGTGTTCTTCACACTGCCGGATAAGCTGTTTTCCTGAGCTGTCATCTCAAAATACACGGATTTTGGCTCTGGCAGTTGGAAAGAGTTTGGAAACTGATATGTGAACGTTTGGGAGAAAGACCTTGCATGAAGACAAGAGCCGCCATCGCTGCTTGCATCGGGCAAACTGCATATTCATGGTGTGAGCCTTGCAGTGGATACAGGGTGTTTTTACCTTGAGGATCTAAACCCCATGAATTCTTGAAAGCCTCTTGCAAAAGGGAAAGATCCCATTTGCAGGATGTGCTGCAGTAAATCAAGTTAAACAGCAATGAGATATGACCTCCCTGGCAGGAAAACACATCCTCATCTTTCTTAGCATTTAATAAATCTGTTTGCAAAGGTATCTCTCACTCCTGTCAGTCCCCAGAAAACCCCAAACATGCAGCAACATTGATGTCTGCAAGTGTTTCGTTCTGGCTTTGCTCTGGTTGTTTATCCTCAGCAGAGAGAGAGCCCACAGCAAGTGTTATACAACAATTACCACATGTAAGCGACAGAAAACGGTGTTTCCAAGACAAACCCTGTTTCAACTCACGGATAAACTATTACCTCTCCATGGAAATGACAGTGTACGAATAGTTCATTTCACAACCATGCACTCCAGAGCAGCTCTGGCACAGGCAAGGAATGAATGGGCAAGTGGGAACATCTCACCTAACGTGGCAGCGGCTGCAAGTCCGGCAGCGTAGGGGTCGGTTCCCGGCGGCGCGGCGCTGATGATGTACGGGTTGGGGACAAAGGCAGCAGGAGCTAAACCTGCTGAAAACATACCTGTCAGTGGAAACAAACTTCACTAGAAGTGCAGCCCTGCCAAAACACCTCTGCCCAGTGAACACAGAACCCTGGGTTGTTGTAGGATGTTAGTGTTTGTTACAGGGTGATTTCTGTAGTGAATGAGCGACACCAGAGTCTGAATAGAGCAATGTGTGGAGGGTATCATTTACATGAAAAAAAAACAATTCCAGTGATGCAACATCCATTCAGGAAAGCTGAAGTGGTAAAATTCAAGTGAGTCCAAAGGAGGCCATGGAGATGCTGCGAGGACTGGAGCAGCTCTGCTCTGGAGCCAAGCAGAGAGAGCTGGGCTGGTTTAGACTGGAGAAGACTCCTGAAGGAGAGACCTTAGAGCAGCTCCAGTGCCTAAAGGGGCTGCAGGAAACCTGAAGAGGGGCTTTGGACAAGGGCCTGCAGGGACAGGACAAGGGGGAATGGACTTCAGAATCCCAATACTTCAATGAATTAGCCAGGAAGGAACTCAGGATCATACAGGCATGGCAGGGAACCATCCCTGCAGTGTAGGCATTACCTTCCCCTGCAAGGCAACAGTTTAATCATTAGAGAAATCCCAGCGGGGCGGGAGAGGGGCGTGGAGGGGAGGTGAAGGTGAAGGGGAGCAAGGTAAAAAGCTAAACCAGTTTGATTCAGGTCTATCCCTGAGCCCCTACAAGCAAACAAGTACACTGTGCAGAGTGGGAGAGCCCCAACCCATTTGTACTGGGCTTTTTGATAGGAAGAACAACTTAAACTGCTTATTGTGCTAAAAACATTTAACCCTATGATAGTTTAATCATCCAGGAATAGCCCTGCTACAGGGTTATGCACTTTATTCCTAATCCATACTCCTTTAGTAATATCAACCATGTGTTGTGCATGAATTACATCTTTCAGTTCGAGACGGCCCAGGCAGCTGAGCCACAGGACATGTGTACAGATGCATATGGAGTTGTGCATTGCTGTGCTCACCCCAACTCATGTCTTACTCACAGCATGGATTTCAGAGCACCCTCCTTCCTGAGCAGCCCCCTCAACAAAGGTAAGGGTCACTCCTGCCAGACACAAATGCTCTGGAGCTTTTAAAGCAGACAAGAGCTACCTCCAGAACTCTTCAAGTGGAGCTTCAAACAATGCACTTCTGCTTGTATGCAATTACCAGTCACAAAACACAGTGAGGATTGTCCAAAACCCATCCATCCTTTTTCCCTGGTCTTTTCCCAATGCGTTCTGTTGATTAAAGCCCACTAAAATGTGGTGTATTACATGCAAGACTTACCTATGTGAGGCTGATGGGCAGCTGCCAAGGCGTACTGCTGCTGCTGCGCTGCTGTCAGCTGCTGAACAGCAAGTGCATTCGGTCTTTGGAACAACTGAAGGGAGAGAAGCACAAATATGGTCCTTCACTCTTCCTTTTAAAGTAATTCCTTTACACTCAATTTGTTTTCATAACTACAGACACTCCTCTTGAAGGGAAAACATTTCAATAGGAACTGAAAAACACCAAACTCTTGAAATCAATTGCCCATGATAATCCCCCTGGAAAACAATGTACTTCTGAAGTACAGCTAAACCCCAGCTAGGGTTTTCTCTGCTGTTCTCTGAACATTGCCTGAAAGCCCTTTTATTCCCCAATTAAAACACACAACTCCTAACCGCAGCCTATGGATCACTAGTAGCTGCCACACACCATGAGACCTTGATCAACACCAAGCACAGTGAAATCACAGTCACAGCAGCAGACAACCTGGGTGACTCCTCCAGACGGTGGGACTCATAGAATCCCACACTGGTTTGGGCTGGAAGGGACCTTAAAGCTCATCCAGTTCCAACCCCTGCCACAGACAGGGACACCTTCCACTAGAGCAGCTTGCTCCAAGCCCCCGTATCCAACCTGGCCTTCACCATGAAGAAGCCAGCAGAGCGAAGTGTGGGAGATGATACACTTGTGATGACTCCAGAGCCACCTAAAGAGCCATAGGGTGGGACAACAGCCTTGGGAGCTCACAACCCCTTGGCCAAAATGCTCCTTTTCCTGCCAGCCTTCCATGCAAGGAGTGTAAATTCTTCTCTAGAACAGACAGAAACCAGACCTGGGGAGTTTGTGGGTAAGTCATCCAAAGGATACCCGAGTTTGCCAGCCCAAAGCTCCCTGCCATCTCCAGGAGCAACAGGCAGCGTTCCTGAGAACAGTCATTCCCAAGAATGAAAAGGAGAGGATTACATCAGTCTTCCAAGCATTTTTGCTTAGGTTTGGATTTTATGTGTTCTTCATTCATCCAGGCCCTTACTACAAACTCACTTCCCAGCTTTCCTTCTGCCGAAGGAAACACTCCCCAATGTAATCCATCAGCAGAGGATGGCTCAACTCTAATTCAAACACTAAGGACCCACAAGTGGAATAACCACTCCAGAGCTACCCAGAAGCAACGTTCCTCCCCACTCAGCTGTGGCTGCCCCATCCCTGGCAGTGTGCAAGGCCAGGCTGGACACAGGGGCTTGGAGCAACCTGCTCCAGTGCAAGGTGTCCCTGTCAGTGGCAGGGGTTGGGACTGGATGAGCTTTAAGGTCCCTTCCAACACAAACCAGGCTGGGATTCTGCAAATGAAGCATCGCTTACAGCACACGGGGGAGTTAATCCAGGGAATTCCAAGAAACCAGAACACGGGAGACTGTGTTATAGTTATGGGAACATTTGTGGATGACACTTCTGTAAGCCAGTTTCTCCTGAAATAGGGACATCTGACATCTCTAATCAGATTACGCGTGGTTAAGACCTTCCCTTCTTACTACTGCTTTTAGCTGCACTCGCTTGTAATCCCTTCAAAGTGTGTGATGCTTCCCAACAGCCTTTGAAAGGCACTTCTACAGAGGAGATCCTTTTGTTCAGGATGTATTTCCTTCTGACATCTGCATACAAAAAACCTGGACTGCCGAAAGAGAGAGACTGCTTTCATCCAGGCTGTAACTGGCAGCAGATTGGATGTCATGTAGTAAGAAAATGGGCACATCTAGGAGCCAAGATACAGCAGATTTACACAGATGTGCACTGGGAGGTCACATCAGGCAGAAGGACGAAGCCTTCTCTTTACTACAGCCCTTGCACTTACAAAAGCCTGATGAGCGCAGTTACTGTAGGTGTAAGGAGCTATTGCAACAAGGTTGAGGCTTCAAAAGAACAGCTCTGAAATAGCCCAGCCTGCTTATTGTCAATGGGACCTGGGGAGGAGCTTAGCACAACACAGCTATGGGGTGAGCAGGGTGCTGTGCCCACAGCACAGACCTCCACTGCTGCCAAACCTCACCATTCAAAGAGACCAGAGAGAACTTCAGCTCCACCCAGCAGAAAGCTGGATTTTACTTCTTACGAGGACAGGCTGAGAGAGCTGGGCTGGTTCAGCCTGGAGAAGAGAAGGCTCCTGAAGGGGAGACCTGAGAGCAGCTCCAGTGCCTGAAGGGGCTGCAGAAAACCTGGAGAGGAGCTTTGGACAAGGGCCTTCAGGGACAGGCCAAGGGGAATGGCTTTAACCTGCCAGAGGGGAGACTGAGATGAGCTCTTAGGCAGAAACTCTTCCCTGTGAGGGTGCTGAGGCGCTGGCACAGGGTGCCCAGAGAAGCTGTGGCTGCCCCATACCTGGCAGTGTTCAAGGCCAGGCTGGACACAGGGGCTTGGAGCAAGCTGCTCTAGTGGAAGGTGTCCCTGCCCGTGGCAGGTCCCTTTTAACCCAAACCACTCTGTGACTCCATGATTACATGGAGGTGACATCAGCTCTATGTGGCTATTGCCATCTTCTTCATACAAAGAAAACTAAACCCCACCAGACCTGCTTAGGGCTGGCTGAAGCCAGAGCTCCATCCTGCAATCCCTCTGGACATGGACCCGCTTCCCAGGCCAGCCTTCTTCTGACAGTTTCTATTCCCACCAGCTACATGCAAGATGTTCAGATTTTAAGTCCTAACTTTATAAAGCTCGAAGAAGCAAATAAAACCCACTTGAAATTGCCAATGAGCCTTCACTGAACTAAAAACCACAGACAAAACGCACATTTCAGGCTTCCCAGTCCTGCAGGTCCTTTCCCATATCTAACAGTTCTTTCCAAAGCAGTTCCCTTGTTGAGCTCTAACGTAGAAATAACTAGCCAAGTATCATTACTGGATGTTAATTCTCACAAGGTCCCACACCAAAAAGAAGACAAAGCCTTGGAACCAGGTCTTCTTTATGAACTCTTCAGCAGCTATTTAGTTTAATCATTCAAATAATGTCCACCATTCCTCTCCTAAACGTGCTGGATAATAAACCAACCCACCAGGCTCTAACAGGTATTCCCATTGCTTTAAAGGCTCTGATTACTCCGAGTTGGGCCTTTAGCACACACTTGGCAACGGGCTTTCCTCACTGGGGAATGCCAACAGGCTGTTCTGCTAAAAAGGACTGGTTATTTTAGGGAAGGCAGGGCTAGTTACATCCCTTTGCCCTCAGCTGTGACAAAGGGTCTTGCTCTTCTTTGAGAAAGATCACTGTTACAATAGGAAAGCAATAAAAGTTGATGATTGCTGCCCATACTAGCAGGAACAGGAGCGGATTGAGCGGATCCTTGGATCTAGGCCCAGCATTCAAGCCAAGCCAAGAGCAAAGGCAGGACTTGGGTTACTGCTCCGGGATGAGAAGCTGCGGCTGCCTGCGTGGGAGAAAGGTCAAACACACTGGGCTGAGATAAAGCTCAGTAGTATTGGACTCTGGCCTCGGGTTTTAAACCCTGCTCAAGTACAAGCAGTTGAAATCCATTACTCCTTGGTTGGCTCTGGATTGGTACTGCAGAGATCCCACAGCAGGGCTGTGACACCAGGCCTGAGCTGCTGTTTGACCTTTAAGGGCTCGAGGGTGGGTTTGGGTTTTGTTAAGCAGTTTTGACTCATTTAAAGCTCTTCTCCAAGGTAAACTTACTCAAGGTAAAAATGATTAATACACAGACAAGCACTGCTGGTAACTGCTGCTTCCTACAGGTCCTGAAGTCTGCAGCTCAGTGGCCATGCTGAGATCTCCTGTCTCGTGCTCCCTACGAGGACACAGGCCGCACTCTACAGATAGCAGAGAGACAATGAAGCCATCCCAAATCTTCCTCCACCCCTCTCCCCAAGAGAAGAGCCTGAGCTGGTGCTGACCCCATGACGATGGAAGGTGTCCCTGCCCACGGCAGGGAGGTTAGAACTACGTGATTTTTAAGGCCCCTCCTAACCCAGCCCATTCCATGGCTCCCTGACTCTCCTGAGGACTGCAGCAGGATTGGACCACTGGCCAACACGTTACCTGCTGTTGGGAATTGTAGTCAAAGAGCCCCACGGTGGCTGCGGCCGAGTCCACAGGAACTTGGGTGCCCGAATAATCAAACTGAAGAGGCTCCATGCCAACGTGCTCCATGGGATCCAGAGGGACACTCTGGGACTCGATATTGGAGAAGTCCTCCACCGGCTTGGCACCGTTAGTACTTGCCAGCTGGGCTAAGCCCTCTGATCCGTTCTGGTTTGGGCCGAGCAGATCGACCTCACTAGCAGAGTTCTGGCAATTCCCGGGCGTGCGGCTGCAAGGAGAGATCCATCCATTTAATCACACAGCACTGATTCACAGCGAGACACAAGCACTCAGCACATCTGCCTGCAGATGGCATGACAAAGGTGAGGGGAAATAAGAGGACGCTGAAAGAGTTCCCTAAATGAGTTCTACAGCAGAATTTATGTCTTTAAACAAACTAAACCCCCAATCCCCCACCTCACAAGAGCTGGTGCAGTACAAATGTAAAACCAGCCAGGCTCTTTTTACTCCTCACTTGAGAGCATGCCATTACAAGACAGGGTTTCAGGAATGCCAAAGCTCTTTGGGAATTCTGAACTATGCAACACTCAGGTGCTGTTATCCCACTTGAAACCTCCCTAAATGATCTAACATAAGCCTTGGGCTCCGGTGGGAACTGGTTCATCCCAACGCAGGGACCAGCAGGTTGCACCCCCCAACACTGGCTCTGCTTTAACAGTTTTCCTACATGTCAATGTGAGTGAGTGGGTAAGTGAGCAAGAAATACAAATGCACTGATTACAGCAAGAGCCACCATTACAGAAGGCTTTAACCCCTTGAGAGCTACAACGAACAAGCCATAACCTCAGCTGTAACTGGTATTAGTATATAAGTACAGTCAACCTCTTCAGGTGATAGCTCCACAGGAATCCCACACACAGTAGTAAAAGAAAGGTGTGAAACTAAAACAAGATCACAACAGACAGAACTAGAGCTCACAGATGTTATCTTCCACCTTGCCAGTGCTTCCCTGGGTGCATTAGGACATCTTTAGGACCCTGTGTCAACGCCTCAAAGGCTTTTTCACCACAGCATGGAAAATCTTTCAAGGAATATTAAAAGTGTTGTGCGCGCTGGGTTTGGATGGGGAAGAGTTCCTTTTCTTCGCAGTGGCTGGTATGGAGCTTTGCTTGGGATTTGTGCTGGAAGCAGAGTTAGAATCATAGAACCAGGGAATGGTTTTGGTTGGGAGGGACCTTAAAGCTGGAGCCCTGCTGCCCAGGAGATGGCTGAAGGCCTGCATGGGATGGGAAGCAGTAAAGGAATTCCTTGCTTTTCTTTGCATGTGTGCTTTCGCTTTACCTGTTACACTGCCTTGATCTCAACCCAGGAGTTTTCTCTTTTACTCTTCTGATCCTCCCCTCATCCCACCAGGGAGGAACGAGTGAGCAGTTACGTGGTGCTCAGTTGCCACTTGAGGCTGAACCAAAACTGATTAACTACTACCTAATAGTGCACGTACCTGAAGTCTTTGACATCTGCGTCGATCCCATTCTGCACAGGCAAACCATTGGTTTTATCCATCACATCCCCCTCCTCCTTCAGATCTCCTAATTTATCGCCATCAAATGTGCCCTTGTTCTTCTTATCTCCTTTGTCATTCTCATCACTCTCTGCATCCCTTGGCCCCTGGGCAAAAGAGACAGTATTTGAATAAGCTTCATTCTCACATCAATTCTACTTTCATTCTGAGCTTGTAACAAGTCAAAGGAACGTGTCACCATCCAACAAGTCACTTGCAAACACTAGCTCCTACAAATAAAAATGGAAAAAAGGCAAAATAGTCCAACATAATGGAAGAAAGAAGGGAATGACTCTCACTTTCAGGTTTTATCCATTTAGTTTCTTCCATTTAGCAAGTCAGTGTCTGCTTCTAAATGCTCAAAAATCCCACCCTAAAAGAATGTTAAAGAATACTTCAACAAACCCTCTTTCTAGACGGGATTTGGGCACTTCCAGTTTAACCCAGGGACTTCTCAACACAACAGCAGGTAGTGAAAAGGTACAAAAGGAATTAGAGCCTCTCAAAGTCACTGTCTCAGTGGCTGGAGAAGCCCATGTGTAGGAGCAGAATGGGATCACCTCAACACTGTGATTTGTGCAGTGAATTCCGAGGTAGGGCTGATTTAAGAGCATTCAAATCAATCATTAGGTTGGTCACTGGTTCATAGAACCCTAAAGCACATTTTGGAGGGGGGAAAGGAATGGAAAGCAAAATAAAGGAGGAAATAAGAAGGTTTCTGTGCTGTTGAGCATTTGATGGGTGATTTTACATCTGCAGCTTTTCTGCCCTTAATGTCTGTATTTTCTTTCACTTGGGAGAAGAATCAAAGGGAATTATGCCAGGGGCACAGTTGTGAAAACAAAAGGGAGAGGAAAACCAACATAATTTATGATAAAAACCAGCAAGGGGCATATAAACATATTTATCAGAATGGCTTTGGTGCTGTCACACAGACAGACATTAAACCCTCCATCTGAGGGCAAGCTGCTCTGTATGTAACAGGGCAGAGGAACCCTATATTTGAGTCCTTTTTCCATCCTCTTCAATTGGAGGGGGGATTTTTTCCACCAATATTTAGGAAAAAAAGGATTGCTTTAAAAGTTATTATCTTCTGATGATGCTTCTTAAAGAAAATCAACCCATGCTTGTTTAAGGGCAGACACGGCAATACCAATTGTAACTACAGACGTGGAGCCCAGTCTCCCCCCATCACAATGGGATATTCCCTGGGGAGACCCCGGGTTGCAGAACTGGTGACCTGACCATCAGTGTGATGGAGCAGGCACTTCTCTAAGCCCCAATTCTGATGATAAATTGGCTCCTTCCACTGTTGTCCATTCCTCAAACCCCATCTCTCTTAGGCTCAGGGTTCAACAAGGTTATAGGGCACCCAGTAACGAGGGACAAGATAAAGAGGATGGACGAAGGAACCCACAAATCAGCTCCCTGAAAAGATGAGCAGTCCAGCAGTGACAAACCTACTCTGCTTTTGTGCTGTGTGACAACCCCTGCTTGAGCAGTGGCCTAGGAGGTGGCGATGCATCCCCTACTTCCCCACTGCAGGGATGGGGCCTGATTGTGCCTCCTTTCCCCACCCCATGAAGCACAGTGACTACCATCACTTCTCCATGGGAAACGATATGCCCTTTAAAGCATTCCCACTTGGAGTGGCTTCTACAGCTACGTTATGTTTCTAGCATCATTACATGGAGCTTTTTGTTCTTCACCAGCAACAAAGCAGCCACACGTTCATTCAGAACCACAGGCAGATGTGCACACTCCTCCCACAGTGAGCTCAGGTGGGGGGTCACTGCTGGTGGGGTGATACAAAGAACCAGGGAGCACCAGGAACCTTCACATTCCTCACACCCATTCCAACCCTGCATCCCGAATCAATAGCAATGGGTAAAACTTCCCTGGTTTAAGAGAGGGAGCTAAACAAGAGCAAATTAAAGAAGGAGTATCTGCCTTTAGGGATGGATTAACAACCAATCAAACCAAGCAGCAAATGGAGAAAGGAACATAACAGGAACTCAGATGTCAGCACACTTACAAATCCTCCTTTCCTTAGGCAGGAATCTCCAGGAGATGAGCTCAACACATACTCCACCATGCTAACTCCAAGTCCTCCACTCTCTGACCGTGGTGAAAGCACTGAGTTGACTTCACTATTCACATGAAACCCCTGACCAGGTCTTCTCTGCACCATAATTGGTTGGGAAACAGAGTGATCTGGAACAAAAACATGGATAATGCTTATAAGTAGATCCAACTATTTACAGGAGGCAAGTCATTAAATAATTACTCTCTAGGGTCTGAACTGCACTATGAAGTGCCAATGTTTTGACTCTGATCACGTCCATTAGACAAAGCAGGATGGCTGCTTGATTTTTAACTACTAGAACCTGGAAGCCTACATTCAGAGTCTAAAATCAGAGCATTTCAGAGACTTAAGTCTCTAAGGAAAAGTTGTAGTTAAAACCAGGAAGTTGTAGGGTTTAGTTTTAGTACAACTCTTGCATTGGTACAACAAAAAAAACAGTCAGTTTTGGTTTGTCATTTCAAACATCATCCTACCGTTACCCCAGCTCTCTTGCTCAGATGAAGGACCCTATTCATGTCATGACCATATCTTCTCCTAGATGAGAACTTCATTTCTTCTTCATCCCCTGTCCTCCTGCATCAGTCCCATTTATCACCCCTGCCAAGGACTGATGGCTCCAAGTCCTCTGCCAGAACTGGCTGGGCAGGGGAAGGGACCCTGCAACCAGCAAGGAAGGGGAGCAGCTCTGCTCCTGCCTGCAAGGGCTGGCAATGCTCAGAAGCAAAAATAACAGGCAGCAGATACAGTAGTTGCCAGAGGATGGTGGAAGGGACATGCAATGATATTGATACTGAGCTGCCTTATAAAGCAGGCATAAGCTGTGGAGAAGTCATTCTATTCTGTTATTGGTCCTGGCTATGCTTCCCTGCCCCTCAAGCCAGCACAAGCATCTAAAATGGACTAAGGGAGACTTTTGGGGGATAAAGCTAACTAAGAAAAAAGAAAAGCTGGTTTTAACAGACCAGTTCTCCAGCAGTGTTCATTGTGCTGCTGTATAACCACTTAGAGCACCAGGAGCAGCATTTTTTTCTTACAAAAACCCAGGTTTCAATAGTCTGGAGAAGAGAAGGCTCCAGTGCCTAAAGGGGCTACAGGAAACCTGGAGAGGGGCTTTGGACAAGGGCCTGCAGGGACAGGACAAGGGGAATGGCTTTAACCTGCCAGAGGGGAGACTGAGATGAGCTCTTAGGCAGAAGCTCTTCCCTGGGAGGGTGCTGAGGCGCTGGCACAGGGTGCCCAGAGAAGCTGTGGCTGCCCCATCCCTGGCAGTGTTCAAGGCCAGGTTGGACACAGGGGCTTGGAGCAAGCTGCTCTAGTGGAAGGTGTCCCTGCCCGTGGCAGGGGTTGGAGCTGGAGGAGCTTTAAGGTCCCTTCCAACCCAAACCATTCCATGGTTCTAAGATTAGTTCCACTGTTCCTGGAACAAACCCATCCTATGCCCATGGCCACTTCCACAGCCACCTCCATGTTGTGCTCCTCGCTTTGGGGCAGGGACCTTGAGGAAGTGCTCAGCCTCTGGCTCTTCTCTCCAGCTGAGATGAGCCAAAAGGGAAACTCTGACTTCCCTGACTCACCAGTGTGGGCCATGGCTCAGCACTGGGGGCTGTTGAGGTGCACAGGATTAATTGTGAATAAACAAAGGAAGAGATGAGACCAAAGGTTCTGACTCATGGAGATTTGGGATCAGCCAGTGTAGGAGTCACCTCCCCCAGATCTCCACCCACCTGTGGAGGCTGGGACCAGCCTCAGCTGAGCACAGGGTGAGAGGCTTTATCTCCTGGTCACAGCCCATTTGAAGTGTAAGTAATAAACCCTACCCTGATCACTATCCCAAAACCTTCCCCCTAATTCAAAGCATCACTTCAACCTCAGTGGTTTGGGGGTTTGGTTGGTTTAGTATTTACAAAATTAGGGGCTTTTCTTGTTCCTGAGGTTTTTTTACTCATCTTGTTCTCTAAGTTCATCCCAAGGCACAAAATACATCAGAAAATTGAAATTGAAATGTTAAGGGTAATCTAAAGCTTTGAAGCAGGTAACAGGGTGCACATATTCACATTAACCAATCCTTTAGTACCTATGGATATGTTAATCACAAACCAACGTGGGGGTTTCTAGGACATAAAGCAGGTGTCTTTGAAAGCTGAGTTGCACATCTGCGTTCAACCCCAACTAAATCAAGTAAATAATGGAGCTACCTGATGTTCCCCAAGCACTGTCTCTCCACTGATCTCCCAGAAATATCCCTTTTGGTCCATCTTTGCTGGAATCATCAGATTCCCAAAACTTTTTACCCGGCAACAGCTGCTGCAATTAAAGAAACACAACAAAAAAGAACACAAAACAAAACAAAGCATGATTAAAAGAAGTAGGAAATGCAAACAGAAACCATAAGCGTCTCCCTTGGGAACATGGATCACTCATTCAACACCAACTGAGACATGCTTCATCATCAAAACACAGATACCCTCCTCTGGAGCCACCCAGCACTGAGGTACCACTTGCATCCCCACATCCCTCTTGCGTTCTTAAGTGCTTTATGAAGCCCACAGGTGGAAGCACACACATACCACTGACACTGTCCATACTCTCCATACTCGAGAGCTGCTTGCAAATAAATATCAGCAGGAAAAAGACCCTGTTCTGATCAGAGAATTCTCATGTGTTGTGGTTTAGCCCCGCTTCATTCCATCTTGGTCAAGACCAGGACATTTTGCCTTCCACCTGAGCTGGGATGTGCCTCAATTGCCAACATTTCCAGCACTGATTCTTGCTGTCAAATACTCAGAACACAGAATAGCTCAAGAGGTGCCAAGAGCCTTCCGTTCTCTCCTGTTCAATGTCTGCTGAGGGCTCCCCACTCTGGGAAGCTTGGTTGTAAGCACAAAGAATGAACAATTCTGGGCCACAGCCTGTGCTGTTCCTATGGGATGTAAGGCAAACAGGGAGATGCTCTTACTGAGAATGAGACAAAGTCACTCTGGCTTGGATGAATCCAAGGAAAATGGTTCTGAACTCCAGAAGATGGCACAAAGAACAACATAGCCTATTGAGATGCGTTTCCAAAACATCAGCTTCTCCAAGGCAGCATGCACTATGTGGTACCTACATACAGCAAAGGGAATTCCAAGCCCTCCACAGCTACCTTAGATGTCAACCACATAATCTTCAGACGAAATCTTGTGCTGAATGAGATGCGTGCAATCCCGACAGGAAACAGCAGCACAACCACAGCACATGAACCAAATGCATGAGCCTTGCCTGACGTTGGACTAAAACTAAAGGAACTGGAAGATTAACAACTCATTGTGTCTGAAATGATCACAGAATGAGACTCATGGCCTCCAGCAGCTCACCTGCACAGTTGAGGCTATGGCAACCAGAGCAAACAGGCTGCTGGATGAAGACGAAGCAGATGTGATCCAAGAGCTCTGGTTGAAGGCAGACATCAGGAGAGCTGTGCTCACCCTGTACTTGTTAATGTAAGGAAGATCTATTTACTCAGAAACGTATCACAAAGCAGGTCTGTATGTACAGGATTAAACCCAAGGTTCAAGTTTGGGTTTAAGGCCAGGTTACACAGAACACAGGTAGTACAAAGAAAGCAACACCAATTCTAGGCCTCGCCTGAAGAGCAGAATTCCTTTCAAAACCTAAAAACACCAGAAAAACCTCAAACCCACTGTCTTGGGTTCAGCTGCAGCAGTCATTTTTCTCCTTAGTACCTGGTGCAGTGCTGTGGTTTCACCTTTAGCCTGAGAACAATGCTGATAACACACCAATGCTGTAAAGGAGTATTTCCTCCGATCAAGGACCTTCTCAGTTTCATGCTCTGCAGTGAGGAGGGGCATGGGAAGCTGGGAGGAAGCAAAGACCTGACCCTGGATCATCTCTGGGGCTCTTTTCGGGACCTTCTCCAGCCTGTCAACATCTTCTTTGCAGAGCAGGACCAAAACTGAACCCAGTATTGCAGGTGTGGCCTGACAAGCACTGAGTAAAGCGGGACACTGACATCTTTATCTCTGCTGGTGATGCCTTTATCGACATTCCCCAGCATCCTGTTGGCTTTCCTTACCACATCTGCACACTGGTCACTCTTATCGGGCTTTACATGTTGCTGCTTCCAGCCAGGCAGATCCCAGCCTATGCTGCACTACGGGATTGTGCTTTCCCAGTTGCAAGACCTGACACAACACACCCGCAAGCACCCCTGGCCACTGTAAGAACAGCGATAGCTAAACCAGGACTGCCAACACAGGGGTGCTGCATCTCCCACACCACTTGCAAATCTCTATTATAGCTACATTAGATACTCAAGGTGTGGAAAGGGACATCACAGACATGAGGCACCAGGTCAGACCCAGCTCATGGAGAGCTGCGCAAACCAGGAGCACCTGGAAGATAAGGAGAACCAACACTTCACATGAGTATGTCTGTCCAAAGCACAGCAACAAGTTGTGTTAGGAACTGGAATGCAAAGAGTGAGCTGTTCCTTGCATTCTGGTGGCTCATTTCAATAAATTCTTCTATTTTCCTGACCATCCAAACGGGGTCACTACCACAAAAGACCGTCTCCTCAAGCTGGAGGGTGCCTTGAAACTCATTCAGCCTGGTTGTGATTCACCCAGCCCTTTTCTTAAGGGGGAAAACACATGCACTTACCAGCAGGATCCTGAGGAACTGCCTACAGACACCTTCCTATGGTTTTGTAGTGAATCACAGACCAGGACTAGAAAAATCTCAACTACTCCCTGTCCTGTGCACACACCTCCTTAGCTGCACAAACATCGACTCTGTTGCCTCCAGTTTAATCTTTTCCATCCCAGAAGCATAAAGCTCCCAACTGGAAGCCCTGTAACATCAGCAGAAAGAAATGTTTCTTCCCCACACAGGTTCTAGCTGTATTTAGATACTGGGGAAGGGGAAAACCAAATGCCAGTATTAACAGATGGCAGTGGAGTCCTTGGGCTGTCAACTTCTGCTCCAACCCAAACCAGAGGGTTAGCAAGCAGCAACCATCCAAATTACTACTGACTCCTGCCCAGGAGATGAAGTTTTCCTCAGGGAAAGTTGTCAGCTCTAATAGAGGGAGAGAAAAATGGTATTTGAAGTGAATCTTATCCAGTTCTTCAGGTGGGAAATCAAAGAAGGAACATGCAGCAGTTTGGAACTGGACCAGTTTCATTGTTCCCAGTTGTTATTAAAATTGACCCTATCTAGTATGAAAATAATCCTTCTGAGCCCTCTTAAAAAGGACTTACAGCGTTAGGCCAATATTCAATATACCAGAGTGGGGAGGAGGGGCTGACCTGCACATCCACAAAGGCAATTCTACAACCCACAAGTACAGAGCCTGTGCTTGTAGATCCCACCGTGATGGGATTAGGAATTAAACAAATGAAGTGAACTGATCCCCTCCAGACAAGGCAACCATGAAGATAAGCCATCTGTGTCGCTGCAGAGCCCCATTCATCTGCAGCAACAGGTAGGAGGAGGAGCATGCATTTAGAGATCAGATTTGGGCAGTGCTGCAGGTTTACAAGCACCAAGATGTTATCTGCCCCCCAAAATATGCTGCCATGCATGTAAAAAACAAGACAGGGAGGCTGAGCACACCATGAGCAATGGAGAGGCAACCCCAAGGGCAGCTTCTGCCACCCCAGGGAGCTCAACTGGCTGGTGGAGGCTCTGACAGAAACCAAGGGGCAGCATCCTGCCTCTGGGTCAGGCAACCCCAGCACAGACACAGGCTGGGAGAGACTGGAGGGAGCAGCCCGAGGAGAAGGACTTGGGGGTGTTGGTCAATGAGAGGCTCCCCATGACCTGGCTTCAGTGTGCTTGAGCCCAGAACCCCCACCCGTGTGCACTAAAACCCATAGGGGACAGCACTAGAGAGTGAGAAATGCTCAGCAGAGGAAGTGGGAAATATTCCTTACAGCATTTCAAATCTAGGGTGATGTTCACCATTACCCCTGATATTCATACTGCAAAATGTTGGGTCCAATCCCTTCCATGTTTGAAGGGAAGTACCTACCAGCTGCCTCCTGTCTCTGTTCTCCTCCTCCTCCCACCCTCCTGGCTTAAGTTACAGCTGCTCCTGTATTGCAGACCCAGGCTTATCTCACAGCATCACCCACCACCAAACCAAGAATGTTGCTGCAATTCAAAATGCTGTAACTCTCTGATGACAAACACCTCTCCCAGCCTCTGCACTGGCCATGAGCCCCCAGAGATACTGCACCAATGTTCAGTGTTGCAAAGCTGCAGATAAAAGGGATTTATGTGAAGAAGAGCAGATGCCCAGAGACCAGAATAGGCCACGGAGATGTTTCAAAGGCTGGAGCAGCTCTGCTCTGGAGCCAGGCTGGGTCAGCCTGGAGAAGAGAAGGCTCCTGAAGGGGAGACCTAGAGCAGCTCCAGTGTCTAAAGGGGCTGCAGGAAACCTGGAAAGGGACTTTGGACAAGGGCCTGTAGGGACAGGCCAAGGGGAATGGCTTGAACCTGCCAGAGGGGAGACTGAGATGAGCTCTCAGGCAGAAGCTCTTCCCTGGGAGGGTGCTGAGGCGCTGGCACAGGGTGCCCAGAGAAGCTGTGGCTGCCCCATCCCTGGCAGTGTTCAAGGCCAGGTTGGACACAGGGGCTTGGAGCAAGCTGCTGCAGTGGAAGGGGTCCCTGCCCGGCAGGGGTTGGAAGTGAATGATCTTTAAGGACCCTTCCAAAGCAGTCTGCGATTCTTTGGTACCCAGTTCCTCTGTCTTGAAGGCCAGAAAAGAAAGAGAACTTGCACAGACCATGACAAGCCTCAGATAAATCAGTACTGTAGCACCAAGACCCCACAAGAAGCATGGAGACACACTCTGGTCCATGGGCTAAAGCAGCAAAACTAACCAGCCCCTACATTCAACTTCTGAGGCACCATCCTCCTCCTTCACTAACTGCTCGACACCATTCCTTTTTACTGCTTCCCAGTTCAACATCTGCTGAGAAGGAACAAAACCAGACTCCATTATCCTGGTGTGGCTTGTAGTGAGGCCTCACGATGACTTCGTCCATCAGAGCTTCCACCTGCAGAGAGCACTCAAAGGAGAGGAGAACAGACAAGAACAGACATCCCTTTCACAAAGCTATTCTCAACATCATTGACCGTGTCCACTATCAGTGGCCCAAATCTCTTCTATTTTAGAGCTGAGCAAAAGGGTTTCTGTGGCTCCTCTTTTAATCTCACACTTAAAAGTATCACACTTCAAGGCACAAAGGAATTTAGGGGGGGTCTGATGCTGGCTGATGGGACTGTGAAACTGGAAACAGGGCATAGATTAAAGGGGGGGGTTAAGCTTTTCTTTCTTTTCCCAGATTAGACCATCTGTTCATCACCAAATATTACCCACTCTGCAGTCAAAATGCAGGTAAGAGATTTAGTTGACAGACCCCTTTAAAACAAAGCTCTTATGTCTTCAGAGGCACAGACTCCTTATACCACTACAATGACGATGCTGCTTACTAAGAAGCAAGAAAAGGAGATTAAAGGACACACTAAGTGATGAAGCACTCTTTCCCTCATCTTTCCCCTCCAGGTTTTCCACTATCACCTCAAAGTATGGAATTATGACACTTCCTACAGGTTCAGAAGACATGAAACAAATAGAAATCAAATTCCTTTTTCCTCATTTATTTCAGGCTTAAATGTTTTCCCAGCAGCTTTCTCCACGCGTTTCCTTCACATTCCAGGAGGAGGAAGAAAAGGGGTGGAAATCACCTCCTTAGTGCCTTGCTAAAGCATCTAAACAACAGACAGGGCATGCTGCACAAAATCAAAGCCTGCAGTTGAAGAACATGGTCTATATCCTGTGGGAATCTCTGTTTACACAGCTCCTTAAATCAGCCAGCTGGATCTATGGTGAAATACCTTGGGAAATACAGAGAAAATTCAACAGATAAGGAAAGGCAACTGCAAGACTGAAGGAAATACAAGAGAAACAAGAAGTTGTGGAGAAGGTGAGATGTCACCTTTCCTGGAAAACCATTCCCAGTGCCAGAAGGATGCCATCCCCAAACCTTCCGCATCACAGGTACAAGAAGAAGGTGGGGAAGATGAATCAGCACTGGAAGGCAAACCTCACATCCTCCAAAGGCTGGACTTGATGATCTTAAAGGTCTATTTCCTACCATGTTGATTCCATGATGTGATGTTCTGGAGTGCCTTCAGGCACTGAAGCCAACGTGACCTCCTAACACCACAGAACAAGTGCTGTGCTTACCCTCACCAGGCTTCAAAGAGCCTGGACGCTCTATATCAGAACATGAACTTCTTGCCCAAGTGAGGTGTTAAAAAATAGCATGGAGTGAACATTCCCACCCCCGCCATTCCATTGGCATGCTTTACATGGAGGCACCTCAGCTGGTGCTCAGCAGCTTTAGACAGGTTTTTAATGGCATGTTTTCTCCTCTGTAAATCACTTTCATCTACTCTGAAGTCAAGTGTCTCAATATAGGTTAAGATAAACTGGAGAAACACATTTTCCTATCAAGAACTGTCAAGTTAACATGCAGCTCAGTGTAAAGATCTTCCACAGAAGGAAGAAAGGAGAGAAGCTAAGCTGCAAGCACCCTGAGGTCTTTCACCTGAGAGAGGGCACCTTCTTATGAATCCCACAACAGTCCTGGTTTGCTGTTTCTCCAATAATTTTGGAGATCAGGGATTAGTTTTTATGAACTTGGCTCATAAAGTAATTAAGAGATAGGATGGACTGAACATGGAGGAGAGAAACTGGTCTGAACTCCACAGACTGGAATGCCAAGTGGAGGGCTCTCCAAAACCACAGCCTCTCTCAAGCTGGCCTGCTGTACATTAACATCCTCCTCCAAGACAGCGCTTTCTCATCCACAAGCCTACAAAGGGACTGCCTACAAAGGGAAAGGGAATAACGAGTTTACAGCACAGCCAATGCAGTAATGGGCTGTTCAAGTCACCCTAAAAAGAGGTAAATTCTCTCTTTTCAAAGAAAACCAGTGGCCATCTCCCCCAAACCTGCCACCTCCTTATTGCACAATGAGGTTACAATAACCCTGCCTGGGTTTGTGCAGTCAGAACTGAAAGGCCATGATCTGACAACTCCTGCTCAGGCCTCTGACCTGTCCAAAGCACTTGGCACTTCTGCAGCCCTTGATTCCGTTGCTCAGTGACTCCCACCATTAAATACAGCCCTGTGCTTGGTGCCAAGAGCCAAAAGGTGGCCGGGAGTGGAAACAGGGCAGCAGACAACAGCAGCCACCTAACCCCACAGTGTGACAGGGTGTGAGCTCACTGCATCCCAAAATAACCACGCTGCAAGTATTGTACCACTTGTCACAAGCCATGTTTCTAACTGTTCTCTTACAACCACTGGCTTGCTGTTTGATGATACAGCAGGTGGAGGGCTTAGCTGTTCCTCCTACCAAGATGCAGCCCAGCCTGGCAGGGTCTTGTTTGTTAAAGCAAACACACACACACACACAGAGCTTCACAGCCACAATGGAGACCTCTCACATTCAGCAGCATTCCAGCAGCCTCTCCAAGTGTGATTTATTTCCCCTCTTCCCTCCCCCTCAAAATCCACTGTTTTTTCCTATAGGCCTTTCACTTACCTCTCCCATAGCCCGTCCTTCCAGAGCAAGCGCTTGAAAATCATGATTCAGTTCATCCATGGAACGTACCTATTTAGAGAAGGGGAAGAAAAGCCCATGAGGAAATGCTGGATTTCGGGTTTGGCTCAGTGATAATCAGAGTTCACAGCAATTCTTCTGATACAGACGAAGAGCTACATTCCATATTACAGCATAGGACAAGGTTATTGAGCTCCAACAGATGACTTACCTTTAGGACTCCCAGCTATAAGGTATACAGTGTTAGATTTATACACACACAATAAAAGGAAAAAACAGATATTACTTATAAGACACACAAAATCTAAAGCCTTTGATAAAGTCTAATGCAAAGATTAATGTTGAACAGTAAAGATTTCAGGGGAGTGAGTCAAAGCGTAAGCAAGAAGGTCAGCATCCTTTCAGGTGAGAAATCACAAAGGCTCTTGTATAAACCAGGTAGACTTCTAGTCAGGTTACATTGATATGAAAGGGAAAAAACCCAACTCCGGACCTGAGGACAAAGCAGAGACATTCAACCACATGCCAGGACCCAGCCCAAGCTATTGCCCTCCTCAGATAGCACCCCTGTATCAAGGCAGTGCTTACTACACCATACACACACACACAGAGCAATACTACACACCTCCTACTCAAGGCTTACACAATCCCTGCAACCCAACAGATCTGATGCACCTCTCTGCTAGAGCAGGGGGGATAGTTTATAGAACATTAGGTATGAATCATCCACAGCCTCTGGTCATTGCAGCCCCTCACAGGCTCTTCATGGGGGATGATGACCTGTACCCAGGGTTTAGCTGTGCCAACACTGGACTCATGGCATGAAGGAGGCCCGAAACACCCACTGGTGGGTTTATAGGACAAAACCCCCCCAGACTGGTTTAGGTAACTGATTACTACAGGGGTGACAGAGAGACCAAGATAAGAAGAGTAATAAAGGGCAAAAAGGAGGATAAAGATGAAAGCAAACTGCACTCCAGCTGTATAACTGCACACCTAACAGCACTGGTATTTCCACTCCTCTCCTCAGAGTCTGAAGGAAGCTGTCCTTAAACATGCCTTTGATGGCAAATTGCCATCCTGACCTCCCTGTTACACAATATACAGTAGAAATGAGCTGCATCCATCTTCCCAAATACACTTTACCCAGTCACTATCAAAAGCAGACAAAAAATAACACAGAATCATAGAATCCCAGCCTGGTTTGTGTTGGAAAGGACCTTAAAGCTCATCTACTTCTAACCCCTGCCACGGGCAGGGACACCTTCCACTAGAGCAGCTTGCTCCAAGCCCCTGTGTCCAACCTGGCCTTGAACACTGCCAGGGATGGGGCAGCCACAGCTTCTCTGGGCACCCTGTGCCAGCACCTCAGCACCCTCACAGGGAGGAGCTTCTGCCTGAGATCTGAATTACCCATGAGAGATGGTGAGAGTTGAGGCAACAACTTACACACACCAATTACACCCCTTCAACAAGCCACCCTTTGGGGGCTGATGTCCCCAGTGCCCAAAAGCTGTAACAGAGCAAAGGAGGAGCAGGGAAGCTTGTGACAGCCCCCATGTGCCCCCCAGGAAGCAGCAACGAATCTGAGCACCCGATGGGACACGTGGCACTACAAAGTCCAGTTCATTTTAACCCAGGCACCAAGAGGGCCCACGGGGCTGAATGGCACTTGTCAAAAGGAATCCTGCAGTCAGGTACATTAACAGCAGCCAGGGCCTCAAACTGTCCTTACAATTACTAAACAGGGTTGTGAAGGACCTAACATGAGAGCAAGAGTACATTTACCTTTCTTCTGGAATAATCCAAGGGGCTTTTCCCACTTGACAGCTCCCAGCAAAGCAGCTGAATTGTAATTTTAAGTAAATATTAATGTCAACAATCAGGTTAATACTGCACCTTATATTAAGCAAATATGGTTGCTAATATGACCTTTATCTATAACTGCACAGTGCAATACCATAGCACATTTTGAGGTCTTTTGGGGATCACACACCAGCCTTGTGCACCGAGGCCTCCTCCCTGATGTAGGATTGATATAAACCTACACCGACACACAGCAAAGCTATTGCAGAGCAGCCTTCACTCTTCATCACAAGGGATCTTCTCTTCCTCTTTATGCCAAGTGATGTTTCCCAGTAAGAGAAAGGACAGGTGGACGTAAACAGAGCAAAACCCCAGCCAAATACACAGGAATAAACCCGAACAGACAGACCAGAAAGTGCTCTGGAGCACAAGCAGCTGAGGAAGAACCAGCTAAGAAATCCTCCAGCTGATGATGGGAAGGAAATGTCTCGACAAGTGCAGCAGGAAGCCTGAGGCTTTCTATTTTCTTTCTTGATGTTGAACAACATTAAACAGATCCAGCATCTGCATGTATTAGTGGTAACAGTGACTGAAGAGGGTTTAACCTATTGCTGTGAAGCCGATTATATTAAAGAGGGCAAGCAAAGCAAACCAGAGGATGCTTCTGGAAGCCCTGGCTCTCCAGTGTCCTTGCTTCCCCTCTCCCTACTGCCTCACAAGGGCGGCCCCTCTCCTCCCCCAGCACTTCCTTATGCCAGGATCTATCCAGCCCCACTCTCCCTTCCATTGGAGCGCTTATCCTTCCTCTCTCCCAATTCCACTTCTGACCAGGAGGCAAAACCTCCAGGACAGCATCTACTACACCCAAGGCAGGCCGGGCACCGCAAAGACAGGATTTGGGGAAGTTGGAACATGTAGATGGCTGCTTTCAAGGCTTCTTTGATCTACAGTGAATTACAGGGCAGATTGCAGGCTGCCACCCTGCCAGCCAAGCAAACCAACTCCAGGTATCCCACAGATCCTACTAGAAGGAATTCTGAGCACTCTGAACTTATCTGCCATCCCAGCAAACAAAAGGGCCAGGTGCTGGGAGCACAAAGCCATGAAAGGGCTCCTTTCTTGGGCTTCACTGATGCTGGACGTGCTCCTGAAGCCCTCCCATTATCTGAGCTCTGCACAAGTTACGGGACCACCTCCGTGTCCTACAGAGTAATGAGGGAAATGCTGTTACTGTGACACTTTTGGGGACAGATCAAACTGTCACGATATCTCAGAATAGCATTTGCTTGTTTCTGTGAGAAGAGATAAGAGATTCCATCCCCCTGCCACAGGCAGGGACACCTTCCACTAGAGCAGCTTGCTCCAAGCCCCTGTGTCCAACCTGGCCTTGAACACTGCCAGGGATGGGGCAGCCACAGCTTCTCTGGGCACCCTGTGCCAGCGCCTCAGCACCCCCTCACAGGGAAGAGCTTCTGCCTAAGAGCTCATCTCAGTCTCCCCTCTGGCAGGTTAAAGCCATTGCCCTTGGCCTGTCCATAGCCCCTCTCCAGGTTTCCTGCCGCCCCTTTAGGCACTGGAGCTGCTCTAAGGTCTCCCCTTAAGGAGCCTTCTCTTCTCCAGGCTGAAGGAGTAAAACATTCCTCAACAGAAGTCACCATTACTGCACCAGAAATCCAGGTGTAGTCATGTACTGATCCAGGAAGAAGAAGAAACATCAAGAACATTCAGGCCGCTGAGGCTCCTTAGAATGGAGGGGAGAAAAAAATTATATACATATATATACATGTATATAGTTGGTTGAACACCCTAAATATTTAGTGGCACTTGACTGAGGTACTCCCAAGTTTGAAGCTTTCTCAATTAACTACAGGTTTCCAAACTGGAGAAGGAAACAAATGCCTCCTACTCAGCCGCGGGAGCTGCCGGCGCCTGTCTGCTCTGAAGGGCTCACAGCTACTTGGTTAACACACATCTGAGAACACATACAAACACACAGATATAGCATCTAGGAGAGGAAAATAGTATTTACCGAGTGAAAACAAGCACCACATACTGTCAACAACAGGCTCACCACCACCGACTAGACCAGGGTTCAGATACTTTGTTCCATTGACTGACGACAGCACTGTTTCTAGCCTTCTCCCATAACAATGGTGGGCAAAGGAAGAATGTAAAAGTACAAGTAGTAGATGGGATGAGGTGGTTTTACTATTTTTGTAGTAGAAGATTCACCATTAGAATTGCTACTCCCATTAGCATTGCAAGCAAAAAGCTATTGAACTTACCCCTGGCTCATGATGGCTGTGGCGTCTGGCCAAGGTGATGAGTGATGCAGGGTACAGGAATCAACCCAAGGAAGCCTCTCACATTGATTATGGGATTCCTCAGGTTCTATTCACAGAGGGAATGGCTTCAGAGAAGCTGTGGCTGCCCCATCCCTGGCAGTGTTCAAGGCCAGGCTGGACACAGGGGCTTGGAGCAAGCTGCTCTAGTGGAAGGGGTCCCTGCCCATGGCAGGGCTTGGAGCTGGAGGAGCTTTAAGGTCCCATCCAACCCAAACCACTCTGTGTATCTATGATACATGAATGTGGAATTTAGGTACCCCCGAGATGTCTCAGGCACATACTGGGGTGCAAAATTCCGGAATATCAGATTATGGAAGCAGCAACCTTACTTTTGTCCTGCTGGAGCTGGTAATACCTCAGGAAAGCCACTTTCTGCTTCCCAGGTGCATGTCTGGATCAAGTTTTTGTGCAAGCACTCAGGGCTACACTAAGATCTGACTGGCCTGACCATAGGGAGGGCTTTTCCTTTCACTCCCCCCCCTACTCTGATCTACCAAGGTTTAAATTCAGAGGGACAAAGGTGTAAGGAAGGGAAAGGCCGCATCTCATTCACCACCTCTGTCACAGGAGAATGGAAGTGGCCCCAGGCTACGCTGGCAATGGTGCAAAGGGCTCATTTGAGGGTTTGATAATAGTCAAGTGTCACCCAGTACAGAATCAAGGTCTGAAGCCCAACTTGTGTACAGGGCAAGTAACATGGGCAGATGCTCCCAAGAGAATCAACTGCCCTAGAACAGAAGTTACCCTTAAAGGAAGAGGAGAAATGTGATAGCTGAGAGGAGATCACTTGGCAGAGGGAGAGCAGCATCTCATGACATTGGCACACAAAAGCAGCTCATCACAGAGCAGAGATCATCAGTCAGAGAAGACAATTCGAAAGCGTCTCAGCAAACACATCAA